TTACTAAAGACATAAAGTAATAATTTAATAGATATCTAATTATTTTTAAAATATATAACACCAACTGAATTGTAAACAATAAAGTAATTAACATATGCAAAAAAGTAAAATATAATTAAATAGAATATTTTAAAAATATAAATAATTAAAAAAAAATGAATTGAAACAGATAAATGAAGAAATAGTAAGCTTTAAAAGAACATTAATTTGTAATATTATAATATTTAAACATAATTTATCTTAGCACAATGACCATTTAATTTATTTATAATAATGAATTTGAAAAGTAAATTTTATTGATGTCACATGAACTGACAGTTCATCTACTATGCAGTATTTTCAGGGCTAAAAAGATATGTTCAACAAATGACAGTGAATTTCAAGTAATCTCCAAAAATCACATATATTTTCATTCCTACATTTAAATTTTATTATCATTATATTATTGAAAATATACCTATTCGAATTAATATAATGTACAAGTATAATAATGTCACTGTTTATGAAAAAAACTACTACAGAATATTATTAAAAAGATGCATTAAAAATACATTAAAAATTATGTAAATGATAAAATAGAATGGATCAAAAAAGTATTTCTATATATATATATATCAAAATTTATTTAATTTTGCAGAATACAGATCAATTTTACTTGCCTTAAGAGATTGCTTTTGTACAAAAATAATTTAACAATAAATAAAGTTATACGTCATTTTAATACGTTGATAGACAATTTTCTTGCTAATAATAGTAGTAGTAAATAATAATTGTAACAATGATAATAATAATAACAATACTAATAGAATAATATATTTAATACATACATTAGACATAAAAACATTAAAAGGAAACATACAAAATTAAAAATATGATTTTTGAAGAAAAATAAATATTGAACATTTAAATAAAATTAAAAAATAAGAACATTGAAAAAACTATTATCGACTCAGAACAAAGAGGCAAAAAAAAGGTTAAATATCGATTTTTAATATTTTTTGTTTTATCACAAATATGTATTGTAGTAAAATGAATAAAATAATATTTAATCAATAGGAAAGGATATAAATAAATATAAATAATGACAATAAATTATCTTGAAATAATAAGCAATGTGAGAAATAACAAATGTAATAAACAAAAATTATATAAGATTTTAATCTTAGCATCAAACAATTATAAAAAATAAATAAATAAAAACATAAATACATGCATACATATAAACTTGATACATCCTTAATATACAATAAAAGCTTATAAGAATTATGAATAGTCAATTACTAAATATTATCCTTTCATCTACACGATGTGTATTAAATAATATGCCTCAAATATCTTTAAAAAAATTGATTACATCTAAATCGAAATATCAATTTTTACTAAAATTCCTGTAAATGTAATCCAGTAAAATTATATTTAGTTAGTTGTGTTTAAAACATTATTTTTACATTTATCAAAAAGTAAGTAATATTTACAAAAATTTTCAAATAATAATAAATACTAAACATGCATTAATAGAATCTAAATTAAGATTTTAAAAACTAGTATAATTTTATAAACAATATTACTTCTATTTCTGCTACGCAATACTAAATACAAGATTAATAAAAGTAAATACAAGATTAATGAAGTAAGTTTTATTAAATATTATTTAACTCTTAAGAATTTTAATTTTGATAAGAATAAATATTAATAATATTAATAAAAAATAAACAGTATATAAATCATTAACGATTTCCTTTTTAATTAATTATTTATATACAGTTATGAATGTTTTCACATCATATTCACCTGCACTATGCATCAAATACTGCAGCACTTATATTTCAGTTATTTTTCAACAGTATTTTAATAAACATTCATCAAAAGAATAACTTTCATTATTTTTACTAATTTCTCACAATACATATACTAAGATAATAGAATAAAAAATTTTGTAAATATAAATTTTATAAAAATTATATAATATATATCTATATATATATATGTATTTTATCATTTGCTTGCTTAAGAATTTCAAATTCTTTTATTAAAAAAAATTAATTAAGCAACATGAAAATATTAGCCGTATTATAGATTCTTGATCATTTAATACAGTAGCCCTCTGGTATTAAATAAAAATTCTCATCTAGAGAATATTTATTAAGTAAAAATATAAGCAATAGCGTTGAGATATAGAAATATGTTGAATGCTGTATAGAAGTGCTATGTAGATATTGCTATATAGATGTATATATAGCAATAAATCTGCTATATAGAAATCTAAAAAGCGCTCATTAATAATATTTTTGAACTTTTAAAATCCTTATTTTATAATTTATATTTAGTCAATCTAAATATCTTATAGTTAAAATATTTGTAGTTTTAATAGAGTGAAACTAAATGCACATAAAATAAAGAATAACAATCAGCAATGTATTTTTTGACTAGCAAAATAAATAGTTAAGACCTACTAATCTATACTCAGAACAATTATAACAGTCGAACGTGATAAACGTCAAGCGATATATAAATAAAAGATGCAAATAAACATAATAATGATCATATAGTTGTTTTTATATCCTAATGACAGACAATCGAACCAAATATCAATCACAGTCAGAAATGTCATTTTAGCTAAGCATATTTTGCTACAAGAATATTTAAAATACATTTAATAAATTCTACTTGAAAGATATACAGAATAAAAATTTTTGTATAATATTTTGATTGTACAATCATGTTAAATTTTTTTCACAAACAAGATATAAGTACTTTTATTATAATTATTTTGTATAAAATACTTTAGAACCTTCAGGTTTTAGAACAAATTTTTTTCAATATATATTTATATATATATATATATATATATTTTTTTTATAATAAGTAATGATAATTTCTTGAAGATTAATTAAAGTAATAAATTAACAGTTATATTTAAATTAAATAAAAAGCTCGATAAATACATAATATGATCATTATATTTATTTAGGTATAATAAATTAAAAATTTATTTTATTTTATTGATAAACAAATAAATGATTGTCCAAAATAAATACTTATAAGTTTTCAAAAATACAAACAAATTTTTAAAATATAAACTTATAAATTATCTATTTAAAATTAAAGCCTGTATCTTCGAAGATAATTAAAGTCTAAAAGGTAAATCTACGATTACAAATGATAAAAACTAAAATGATTAAATATTTTGATAATTATGTATGCATAAATGGAAATAATTTTATGAAAAAAACTTTAAAACAATATTATAGAAACTATTATAATCAAGTTAAATTTCCACAATTTATTATAAATATTTCTGAAATATAGTTAATTATTAAAAATTAAAACTATGTTTATAAATTTAAGAAATAAGCTTATTAAAATTTTTTGTATATGTCAATTCAACAATTTTTATATGTTAATAAAAATAAAATAATATTTCTTATGTACTCTTACCTTCATATTTCAGGACTTTCAGTATAAATAATACAAATCACATAAATGTTGAAATCATACCAAATCTAACATGAAAAATAGGTTATTATAAATTTCAAAATATATAGATTATTTATCATACTTTATTATATTAAGTATTTAATATAATTAATTATTGATAAAAAAAGAAATTATGTTTAATATTCAGTTGTAAAGTAATTGATTAATTTTGTGCATAAAATTTAAAAATATTAATTTAAAATACTTATATTAAAATTGCTGCTTCATTACAGTTATGAGTAAAAGACAGAATTAAAAAAAAAAATTAAAGTGTTTCTTTACTTGGCAAGTATGAATATAATTATCTAAGATATAATAAATCTATTTAAATTTATTTACAAAACGTACATATTTAGAATAGTCATAAAATGTTCTTACATGAACAATTATTTTATAATATATGTATAATATAATCTATATATAATGATTTTATAACTAATTTAATATTTTTACATTTTTTATTTTTTATACCTATTGTATGTATAAAAATATATCTCCAACCTATTCGATTATAGATTGCAAACTATATGTATATTGCAAACTGTTTTGGTATAGTACTTCCATTATTTTATCTAATTCCTTCATTTTCTTCTGATATGTTGCATGCATTAATCATGTAACTATTTTATACTTTACATTTAATTTTCGATATAAACTAAAGAATACAATTTTATTATAATTAATAATGGTGTATTTTTAATATTTAAAAAAGTTATAATGACTGCCTAAAATTGAAATTTTGTATTCTATTTTTCTACTATACTTTGTTAGAAAAAGGCCAATGAAATCATTAACTATTTGAACTATTTTATTTAATAATTCTACAAGTTTATTAAAAAAAATTATTTTTATTAAAAATACAAATTTTTCATCTTTTTTTTCCCAAAACATTTAAAATAAATATCAATGTTGAATGCTTTTATTGCTTATAGTATAAAATTTATGAAATATTCAATATTACGCTTAAATAGAATTGTTATAGTTCATAATACAGGACAATTTTTTTTTAAGGAGTTTTCATTGCAGACAAATTTGACCTATTTGTTACTCTCATTTTTAAGCTATTCTTTGAATATCTTGTGTAATTTATGCATTTGCGTAAAAAAAATTAATTCAAAAGAAATCTGCTTTAAATAATGATTATTATTAACATTGTTAATATTAAATTACCTTAATAATGTTTTTTGAATGTTTGTCTAATAAATCTTGAATTAAAAAGAAATTATTAGAAATCTACAGTAATAAAAAAAATCATGCAGTCATTATGATAATTCAACTATTATGTGAACATTAATACAAACAATATAAAAAATAAAATTAATATTCATATTAGTATACAATATTACCATCTATTATGCATGGTTAATTATTAAAATTTATGACCTAAGATGAAAAATTCTTATTTGATTTTTGTTATATGGAAACAAGATTTTTAAGAAAAATAATATTCTAATTCTAATAATTAATTAATTTGAAAGGATTTATAAATATTTAATATTAATATAGAAAAAAAAGTTACTTACGCCAAAAGCAGAAAATCGTTTGGTTCGCCTAGGTGGTGGCTCTGGTCCAAGGAAAACTTCAGATTTTGGTCTCGGTGGCCGTCGCGGTCGCAGAATAACTTTAGCCTCTTCTCTAATATCCTCGTCTAAAAGTTTTGAATCGCTCGAAACAGAAAGTTGTCTGTGTACCCTATCACGTTCACCAATGTCTACCCAATCTATAAATTTTTATTTTCTTTCCAATCATTTTAAATTATATTTTAAAAAAAATAACATAACTTTACACAGACCATAATGCCTATCTTTATTAGAAGGTATATTACCATTTGTCTCCAACCGGTCTAGAAACTCTTCAGAGTAGCCGTTATAAGGCAATTGAACTCGGCTTACTGCATCTTCGGCTTCTTCTTTTGATATTGCTAAAATAAAAAATATAATTTTTTTAAAAGTTACTTAACACAAAAATATTTTATTGTATTAATGTTATTACTTGTTATTTGGCATAAATCATAATAATTTATAATATAAAAATATAAATACTTAAAAGCTTTTATATACTGTCTAGTATCTAGTACTTATACAGTTACAGAATTATTATTGCAAAGAGTTTCTTTGTTATGGAGTTAATGATTAGAATTATTACTTATAAATTTTGTTTCTGTTTCATAAGATTCAATTGCTTGTAATGAAATTCATAAATATTGTAAATATTGTAAACATTGAAATTGACACAAATTCCCCACATTAAATCCAAGGCATTAGTATTCAATTCAATTGTGATGACTGAATGTGCATCATAACTAATCATATACCAAAGTAGGTCAAGTGGAAGAATCTAATAAATACTTAATTAATCTTGCTTTGATTAAAAACTGCTAAATTCGTTTCATAATAAATACATTTTGACACAAGATTGATTTTCTTCTTATTGATTATATTTTTTTCATAAGATATTGAATTTTTGTTATTATTTTCTCAATACCTTGCAATGAGTTATTGCAATGACTCCACGTTTTTTCTTTATACTATTAGTATTGTAAATGATTGCTACCAGAATGTAATCACTATCATACAGGTGCAAGTACAGTGAAGATCACCATGTTTTCATTAACAATTTTTTTGTCTTTTTTCTACTGCAAACTCTTGTGCACTGTAGCATTTCATATCTAATTCAAATTTTTTCTATGATCAAGTATGTGATGGTTTGACTTTTTACGTATCCCAGCGCATATTGTACGTATTATATAAGAAGGAAACATTTTATTAAATTAAATTATATCATCTTATTAAATATTATGACTTAAAACACGATAATAAACATAAATATAATTATCTTTATGACTAAATAACTAATAGTTAATAGTTCAAAATTTGTAATGCCATTATTTACTGAATATAATTTACTTTATTATTTTTACAAAAAGTTTATAGTCAGTAATTTCTGGACGATCTAAACTACAGTTATGAAGGTTTTGTAAAATTTTGTTCAATATTTTGCTTAAGTATAGAATATTACTAGCTATGTGTTTATAAAACAGTATCATGCACAAAAAAATTTGATCGTCTCTACATTAATGAAATAAAATTTTAGATGTCTGGTTTTTATTTCATAGTCATTACTCACGCTCAACGATAAGTTTTATATTTATTTCCCTATTAACTTCATTTTTACATGTTTAAAAAAAAATATATTATTTCATTGTATTTACATTATCCAAACATATACAGTTATAGCTATTCTTCTACTCTTATAGTTATGTTATAATGTTATTTAATTATTTTAGTTGTACACTGCTAGTGTAAAAATTTGTACAATAGAAATATGGACAATTAATCTTCCACAAATCATAAATTTGCTATAAAACATATCCTAACTCATGTTACTTGGTGTATATGGAACAGTCAATCACATACTTATATTTCAAACAAAAAGATTCATAATTATTCCAAGTTTCACATATCCTTAACAATTTTTACCTATTTTTTCTAATAAATTATAGATAATACTGTTTTATTTATAATAATATTATATTTATAATACATTTATAATAATACTATAATAACATCTATAATAATACTTTATATAATTTCAATTATAAATAATACTGTGTTTCAAATTAAAATAGGATACAGTAATTCAATCTTATCATTTTAGTTTTCAAAGAACATTTTTTTAACATCTACCTTAATATCACAAAATAAAATATTGAAATTTTTAAAAACATTTTGAAAATTTATAAATATTTGATTATTATTGAATATAATAATGTAAATTAAAAATTTATTATCATTAAATATATTATATAGCTATCTATTAATATCATACTTTTTAACAAACAAAACAGTTTCATAAGTATTCAGTTGCAAGTGTCTACATATCAGTAATCACATATATACATACAAGCAATGTGTCCAATAAACATAGGACAGATTTGCTGCTTTTCAATTTTAACAGAGCAACATCTCCACATCTTTTAGTAATATCGCAATATAAAATCTGTAAACAAATTTTTATAGTAAGCACTATCAGTTTAGTTAATACATCTTTATATGTATTCATTACTGTTATAAGTTTATTCCATGAGCATTCAATCCATAAAATTTTAAGTTCCATAACAATTTATACAATTAAATTTTATACATACAGTCTGAACAAGATGTCAAACTTAAATTAATAAAAAAATTAGCTCTATGATTTTTCTAATTTTTAATCCCCATAAATACAGTTTTCAAATATTAAAATATGAAACAATTTTATTATTAAATCATTTTATATTTTATACATTGATAATTCAAACACAAGTTTCTTAATTAAATTATATAATTGAGAAATTTATATAAGATTTTGTTAAGATACCAGTTTAAATGCATTAAATTCAGAAGACAAATCTCAATAATTAAATTTATTCAATTAAATTTTCAATATAACAATATATAATTTTACTTAACATTGTCTTAGCATTATCATTTGACTTAGCAATATTTATTTATTCTATGCAAGTTCAATTAAACTCATACGATTATTATTTCGAGATTGTTATTCATTGTGACTATTTTTTTTATTTTATCATATTTGATAAAAATTTTTTCGATTTAATGATTATTAACTAAGAGAAAATTGATTGAAATCGAGCACAAGTAATATAAATTATAATATAAAGTTTAGGTTTTTAAAAAAAATTAATTTAATTGTTTAATTTTTTATGTTGTAACGTTACTTTATTAACCATAAGTTTTATTAAACATTAACTAACTTATTTGAAAATAATTTAAAAATAAAATTTTTATAATATATAATTGTTGTACATAAAATATCATATAAAATTATTTAATTTATTAAATTTATTTTTAAAATATTTTTTATACGATATTTATAAAATAACTTACTTATGTTTTCATCGATTTTTAAATATTTATCTATATATAAAAGCTTATATTACTGTGAACTATTATGAATATATATTTTCTGTTAGCCTTATTTTAATCTGACAAATTCTAATATTTTAAATATAATTTGACTTTGGTTCAGAATCATTTAATCCTTAAAATATAATGTTATAGATCTTGAAAATAAATTTGACTGATTATCACTTTCTGTTAAATATTACTACTTTCTTATACATATTAAGTATATATAATTAATGATTTAAAATTATAAATACTTTTCCAACAATTATAATTTATATATTAAAAAGTTAGTTATAATTGAAATTAATTTTATAATTTATCATTATATCTAAATAAAAGCAAATAAAATAAAATAAAATAATATATTTTATAATACCTAACTTACTTTATATAAATGATCTCATATATATTGTTTATACATTGTTTAAATTACATTACATTAGATTTTTAAATATAAAAATAAAAACTTACACAGTCTACCAAAACTATGGCTCAATCTCTTTTTCAATTTTTGCACTCTGCTTAAAGCACCATTCTTTTTCTCTCTCATAGCTACATGAGCTGTAAATAATAATTTAATATTCAAATTAATTAAACTTAAATTAAATCAATAAATTTATGATAATAAAAATTGAAATGTTAGAATAGAATATAATAAAAAAAAATAATTATTAAAACATTAATTTACAGATTGTTACAAATTATACTTAATATGAAAAAATACCATCTTTATTTTTGGAGGCAGTAGAACTCTTGTCTTGGCAGTACATGATTACTCATTTATTACAAACATAACATATATGGCTGATGATATGATATACACTACTGTTTGTGATTCAACCGGTTAAAATTCAAGATCAAGTTTAATAGGAGGTTGAAAGTAACACCGGTGTAATTATTTTTCCGCATTTGAAACTCATTAATATCAAGAAAATTTTCTCTGATCGCCATTAAATAATTACTGGTTCCGACAAAATTACGCATTCAACTTTTTCTGCTGACTTCTACTGATTTTCACTCTTCACTTACCATGTTAAAATGTAAATCTGAACTATTAAAGGGAGAACATGATTATTTGCACTGTAACTGTAATACTCGACCCTTATTTTTCTTTTTATACCTCTTTTCCTGGAAGTTTCTACAAATTTACTTAATTGGCTAATTTATATTGCAAAAAAAGAAACAAGGTATGAGAAAACTTTTATATACTGCGCGCGCATGTAATGAATGTATTACAAATTCTTTTAATATATGAAAAAAATTGAATAGAAATTAATCATGTTTAACATTTATTCATTTATGGATGCATTAATAAAGCGTAATTATGGTTCACAAATACACTAGATTTATTACAATGTAACCGCGCGTAATTTTAAAAGGATTTATAAATAAAAAATTTTAATTAACGTTTTTATTCTAAAAAATTAATTCTATAAAATTACAGATTTAACGTCATCAATTATTAAAGTAATAAATATTAACATCATAATTATATAGTATGCAAATTTTTCTGACCTTAACACCTTAAACTGATCTTAAAAAATCTGACTTTAAACAAATTGCGTGATCGAATGAGATCAGTTTAAAAAATTCAGTTCTAATTATTTAGTAAAATTTATTAATATTTAAATAGTATTTTCAATTGCAATTAGTCTTCACAGAAAATATATAAAATATGAGAATAGCTTATTATTCTGTTACGTAGTTGTATGTATATTAATATGTATTTAAATCAAAATCCTATCATATTTTGGCTGAAATACTATAAATAATTTATTAAATAAATTAATTAGTTCAGTAAATCTTCATTTATATAATTATATTAATACATTTTTTAACATTTACGGTATAAAAATTTTCTTTTAAATTTCATTTGAACAAATGTAAAAAGAAAAAATACGTTGTTTCTACAAACTTCATTTTTATACCTATAATACCATTATAATTATAATATATAAATTATAATATTTATTATAATTTTAATATATATAATATTAAATTTCGAATGCAATAAACGAATAACTGTTATAATTCAATAAAATATATTATATTCAATAAAATATTATAGTATATTTAATAAAATAATATAATAAAATATTTTTTATATATATTCACAATTAACTTCATAAAAAAATGCTTTCATAAAAAATAGTAATGATCCTTCGGTTTATTTTATCTTAACTATTCCATTATAGACCGATTATTTTTCCAATTAATCACTTAATTCAATATTTTGATACATTTATTTTAATATCTATGATTCTTATTTATTACTTAATCTAATGACTATTAAAATTATCACAACCATTCAAATTAAAAACATTTTTTATTATAATTTAAGTTAATTATATTGAATAAAACTCTAATGATAAATAATAAATGCAAAATTTATTTTTTCTACGCTCAGTTGATCAATAATATCTAATAATTGTAAAAGAATGATTATTTTTAAGCTTTGCATAGTTTCCATTTCGGTAGCTATTTGTTATACACCGCTATTATTATTCGTAGCGTTAATTGTTTTTTACTATAAAGTGTATTTTATGAAGAAATAAAGATGAATGCGACTGTTTTCTAAAACATATTTTATTATTTCATACCTGTTACATAGATTACTATATAAACATACTGTTTTGTATTTAAAAGACTTTCACCCGTGGTAATTATTTTATAATCAAAATATTTGTATATTCCAACTAATTTTTCTGTTTAAAAAAGTAAATAAAAATTCATAAATTATTTTAAATGCATAAGGATTCTTTTAATCCTTCAAAAATTTCTGAATGAATCGATGATGAAATATTTTCGTATTATTGCAATTATTTTACAGGAATTAATTTAATCATATTAAAATGGCTAGCAAAGGTCTTAGCAGTCATTTTATTTGTAACTAAAGCATCTTTACTTTGCAACTGAATTTCTTTTTTTTTTATGGCTTTTGCTTTTCCATAAGCAATTTTAAAATAGTTTTCTCTCTTATAAATAAATGATATTCATGTGAGAAATATCTGCCAAGTCAGAAAACTATCAGGAACTACATAAAATTCTATTTTTTATGAATAGATACTTATATACAGTTCATATAATGTATGTATGCATCCTTCCCTATTTCTAAGAAAATATTTTATTTCTGTATTTCTTAACACATAAAAAGGTTAAAAATTTATCGATATTATAAATCCACACGAACTAAACTAATACTAGTAACTAATTACTGTCCAATAATCTTTTGGTTGATTAATCCCGTACGTACCATTTTTTTTATAGATTAAGCAAATAGATTAAACAAATACATTATTCAAAATATAAATTATAATTACATATTATAAATTATATTAGTAATGTACATTTTACAGCTTTTTTATTATCATTCAAAAAATAATAAACTAATTTTTAATTCGATTATGTAACAAAATATTAAATTGTATAAATCTGTTTTTTATTTTATATAAATATTTAATTACAAATAAAATATTTAAGAAGTTTCAGAAATTTTTTTAGTAATTTTGTTTGTAATGTTTTTTTGTAAAATGAACGATGAAATTAAAATTACATTAACTAATTGCATACAAATTAATAAAAAATATTATTTAGTTTTATTACTTGAAAATAAATAATGATTGAAATATCATAAAATTCTTTTCTCCTAATATTTGTTTCCTTTCCCTTTATGGCGAACTTAATGTTTTTTGTGAAATTAAATATGCTAGTTTGAGTTGTATACGATTAATTTACTTTTGTAAATAATTTTCATCTAAATTTTTTTATATAAACAAATTTTTTAAATTGATAATAATAAATTTAATTGTTTGAATATATTTAAAATAGTATAATTTTTTATTTAAATTAATAATATTATTATTATCAAACTGTGCAACCGCGGTCATTCGCATTATTATCTTCCATTTGCTTAGTTAATTTAAAATTCAAGCTATATCTATGGATATCGGGATGATTGATTATATATATGGTGTATAAAAAAAACATCCGAAGAAATCTAAAAGAATACCGGGTTATTTTCTTTCCTTGAACAAATTAAAAATATTATTATGGAACTTAGACTATAAAAGACTGATTAAAAATATTCATCGCATTAATATTTAAATAAAATTAGTTAATACATTAAAATATGCCATTTTAATATTACTTTGATTAATAACATTATAAATATAATTTAATAAATGTGAATTTAAATGTAATCCATAAAATAATAAATAAATATTATTACACATGTATCATAACTTTCTTCGAGTAATGTAACATTTTCACGAGTTGAACATTATTTAAAACTTCATGTTAAAATTGTGCATTATTGTAAGAACCAATAAACTGAGTTTTTATTTACGCTTGCTTTTGACGAGTACCTACACTACTCTAATCAATTTGTGAAAAAAATGTTATTTAAATTATTAAATACTACTTTTCGTAAAACATTATTAATTGACAATAGAAATTTATTGAAATATAAATCATTAATAGTTTTGAAGTAAGTAAAACATAAAAGTTTCTTAATCTTGTTTCTTTCTATATTAAATTAATTACATAATATTAAAATACAAAAAAAAATTATTTGTTTTTATGATCATTTGTACATAATTTTTATTAATGATCTTTAATATTTAATTAATTATCTTATTATAATTTAAAGTATTTTTTAACAAGTTTTAATATGATAATAATATAAAATTATGTTTATTGTGTAAAAGTCGATCAGCTTCAACATGGTATCCAGATTTAGAATATATGGGACAATTTTCGAAAATATTTTTAGCTCCACCAAATGAAACGAATAAATGGAAACATTCATTTCCTAGACACAAATTTGATGATAAACTTGTAGACCACACTGGAGATTGGTATATAAATTTTGGTCCACAGCATCCATCTGCTCATGGTGTTCTACGTCTTGTTATAAGATTACAAGGTGAACAAGTAATCACTGCAACCCCTCATATCGGATTACTTCACAGAGGAACAGAAAAATTAATCGAATATAAAACATATACACAAGCTTTACCTTATTTTGATCGCCTTGACTATGTTTCAATGATGTGCAATGAACAATGTTTTTCTATGGCAATTGAAAAATTACTTAATATTGAAGTTCCATTACGTGCAAAATATATTCGTAGTGAGTATTAATAATTTATATAGTAGAATTAAATATAAACGAAATAAAATTTAGTATATAATTAAATTTATTTAGCATTATTTGCTGAGCTAACACGTATTTTAAATCATCTCTTGGGAATGGCAGCGCATGCTTTAGATATTGGTTGTATGTCACCATTTTTTTGGTTATTTGATGAAAGAGAAAAACTCATGGAATTTTATGAGCGTGTAAGTGGTGCTCGTATGCATTCGGCATATATAAGACCTGGTGGAGTTGCTTTAGACCTTCCACTTGGTATTATGGATGATATACATGAATGGGCTTCAAAATTTGGAGGAAAAATTGATGAAATTGAAGATCTTTTTTCAGAGAGTCCATCATGGTTATTACGTACAAAAAATATTGGTATTATTAGTGCAGAAGATGCTATACTTTATGGATTTAGTGGAGTAATGTTAAGAGGTAGTGGTATTAAATGGGATATTAGAAAAGCTGAACCTTATGATGCATATAGTTTAGTAGAATTTGATGTTCCTGTTGGAAGGAATGGAGACTGTTATGACAGGTAACTGTATAAGGAAAATTCGTAATCATTTTAAATATTTGAAATATTTAAAAATAATATTAATATTTTGAATGCCTATATGCTTGCATATATATGTATAGATATAATTTATTACTAAATAATGATTTATATTAATTAGGTACTTATGTCGTATTCAAGAAATGAGACAATCGCTCAGAATTATTGAACAATGTTTAAATAATATGCCAACTGGTGAGGTACGAATAGATGATGCAAAAATTGTACCACCACGTAGAAAAGATATGAAAAGTAGTATGGAAGCATTAATTCATCACTTTAAATTATTTAGCCAAGGCTTTCATGTACCACCTGGTTGTACATATACATGTATTGAAGCACCGAAGGGAGAATTTGGTGTATATTTAGTTAGTGATGGTAGTTCTAAACCGTACAGATGCAAAATTAAAGCACCTGGATTTGCTCATCTTGCTGGCATAGAAAAACTAACTGCTTATCATTTTATACCTGATCTTGTGGCTATCATTGGTACTCTTGATATTGTATTTGGTGAGATAGATCGATAAAATATTTTCTTAAGAATAATAGGCAGATTTATAGCAATTTAATACAAAGAATTATTACATATTTCTCCTGTACTTTTATTAAATACTCTTAAATAATATAATATTGCTTGGATTGTTGGTTAAAATTTTTAAATGTACTTCCAAATATAATTAAATATTTAAAATAATTTATAAAAAATTTTGATTTAAACATTAAAATTTTTAATTGATTAAAATATAAACCTATTGCTCCAATTTCACAAAATTTTATATAATTATTGCAAACATAAATAAGTCTTGAGGTTCACTGTCAATGGAATTTTCTAGAGACTATATTTCATAGACATTTATTAAATATTTAGAATTAATTTTAAAAATCTTTTATACATAAAAATAGATGAAACAAGTTTATCATTTTACAAAACATAACTAATATATAAGGATAAATCAAGCATATTAATAAAAAAAACTTTAACCCAATGCTTTCAATAATAAATTTAATAAAATATATTAATTCATAGAATAATTCACAATAAAGACAAAATTGTTACTATCTATAAAACAATGTAGTTAAATAAAAGCTAAATTACAATCTTATAGATATACAAAGCCTTTTTTATATATTTTTTTGGTTTTGTAAGATTAATATATAATATCAAGTGTTAAATAAGTTTGTATATTATTTCTTATATAAGAAAAATAAATTGAATTATGACAGGAAAAAAAGTGTGTAAGGCTTATTAAAATGTTATAGAACTTATAATAAAATCCTTAAGGTAAGATATAATAGAAAATATGACAAAATAATTAAACATGAAAAACAGAAGAAAGTAAAATCTAAAACATATATTTTAGCATCCATAATAAAAAGAAATCTATATTTATGTATTTAAACATTATAGAAATAGTTATAATTTATATTAAATATATAAATTTCAATAAATATTAATAATCAATAACTGATATTTTTATGTAAAGTAAATTGATTTAATATTATATTATTTATAATCTGAAAATGGAGTATGATTAATTTACTTATACAAACAATTTTTATAAAGTATAAATATGCAGGATTTAAAAATTATATTTAATATAATCTAAAATATTTATTAATTAATAATCTTTAAAAATAAAAATTTAATAAATTGAAATAATATGTTAATTTGTATCTTTTACACAAAAATATATTTTAATATACTTTATATATTATTTTCATTTAAATTAAAATACAAATTGTTTGATCACTCAGAGATATATGAGATGCATATATGTTATACTAATTGCAGGCTTAACATTTCTAATGTACCCAACAAAACTTTCAAAAACATTTAACTTAATAATTTTTTAATTTACACCTAATAGAAAATCATGTAAACTTATATTCTAATGAATCTTACATAATAGTATACATATGAATTTAATTTCTTTTCATAGAATATTGACAAATTTCTAGAATAATTTATATTTACATATTTAGTTTGATATAAAATGTTTTATTGATTTATCAATATGTGTTTAAAAAATAAAACAACAAATAGAAAATTTTCAGAATATAAATTTATAGTACATAAATGTATATAAATATATTTATATAAATCATTATTTTGAATTATAATTTATTTTTTAAATAATTACATTAAATGATGGATGAATTAAAATGAAGAATCTGAAAGTGGAGATTTGTACACTTGTTTGGTATCAAATGAGCAAAGCTTTCCTTCAATCAAACATTGCACTAACCAAATTGTTGACAGAATCGGAATATGCCAATTCTTTGCTTGTTCAATAACCCATAAGGGGCACTTTACATTGGCAAGTATAATTGTCACTTCCATAAAAGATTTATCTAAAATATATAAGTTATTTTTATTTTACTATTTGATTTATATTTAATATACTAATATAAAATTAAAACTAATATAAAATTACATGAAATTTCTTTAAAAACTTTTTTATAGCAGAATACAATAAAATATTTAACATTTTGTATTGATGTTTTAATGATTTATATGGTATGAAATTTTAAAATACTATTAACATTAAATTGACAGTTTGTGATTAAAAATATAAATAATATTTAAATATATAAAAAATATAGAAGAGAATTTGGTTAGAAATAAGAAAATGTAAAAAACTAAGTATTAAATTATAATTTAAAATTGATTTAAAGCTTTTTTTTACATAAAATTTTATATGTTGAATAATATATTAAATTATTTTAGAAAATTTTCAATTTAGTTGTTAATGATGAATATCATTATTTTTATATATAAATTGAATCAATATGTTATTATATTCATTAAAATCTATTTTAAAGTAATTTCAATATGTAAACCTGGATTTTCAAGAATTTGAACAGCAGCTCCAGCATTTTCACAAATTTTTTTCCAAAATTCTACAAATGTTTGTCCACATTCTAATAAAGGTATTGCAATAATAGTATGTTCTAATGGTCTATTTTTAGGTCTTTGATAAATATCAATATAAGCTTGTTTATCCAAGCTCCATCCTGCTGGAAGTTCTTCCTCTGCAGGTTCAATTGCCTTGTTCTAAAAAACAATAACGTATTATACATTTATTATATATATAAAAAAAACTTGCATATTACCTGTAAACAACTTCTAATCACCCATTGATGATTATAACTTCTAATTCCTACTGATAAACAAAGTAAACTATTCTTTGACAAATTTGGCAAATTTGTTATATGCTTTGTATGTAAATACTCCTCTGATGGAATGTCTTCAAAATGATCATAAACCTTACCACCACCAGCAGTTATTTGTGTTTGCAAGCGATATCTTAAAAATGGACGTTTTACCCATTCTTCTTCATTTTCAGTTCCTGATTCAGAGTTAGAATCATTATTTACACTTGCCACTTGATACCTTATAAGTGTTTTGAGAGAAACACAACTAAGTATAAATGTCATTCCCTTAAAAATATTTGAATTAGCCTCTGGTATAGGTCCTAGTATTTCAAGATCCTCTGAACTTTCTACTTTCTTTGGATAACGAGACTTTCCCTTCACTTTACTCAAAGGTTCTTTAATAATTTCGTTTTGTAATACATCTATTATTTCATTTTGAACTCCAAGAAATTTTGTCCATCCTTTATGATTATAAATAATCATTTTTCTATTATCATTGTCAATTTTTTGTTTCAACTATTTAAAATAATTTAAAAAATTGAAAATTCAATATTTAATACAAAGATTTAATAATTGATATAACATTATTAGGAAAAAAAAATACATACTTTATTTTGCATTCCAGATACTGATGGTTTAGATTTATTACTTCTATCAATTGAAGATTTTTGAAATTCAGTTGTATGAATGTTTAGCACAGTCGTTTTCTTAGATCTTCGTTTACTAGAAAGAACATTATCTAATGTTATGTAACTCAATTGTTGAGGAATTGTTGTTACTATACTTGTTTTGAGTATTTGTTCCCTAATTAATTGAGCTTGATCCGATGTTAAAAAGATGTTGTTAATTGTAGTATTAACTCTCTGACCTCCATCTGTTTCAATTGTATAAATCACTTTCTCACCTTTTTTTTCAATATTTATGATCAATCCTGAAGAAGCATATTTATCATCATTACTATATGTATATACAGAGGAACCAGTCTCCAAATTTTTGTTAATGGGAAGAATAAAATCTGGCAAAAGCAGTTTAGTTTTGCCATCAAAAAAGTTTACCTAAATAAATTTTTATATTTCCATGAATTTATTTTTATTACTTTCTAACGAAATGGATATTTTTAAATACCTTATATTTAGTTTTTATAATAGCGCAAACTTTTCCTGGATAATAATTATTATCAGACCATTTAGCAAATACTTCTTTTTCAAGAAATTCATTATCTAATTCTGATATTGTATTAGTTTCTATTTCCTTACTTGTTTTTATAATTTTTGAATTTTTTAATTGTTTATTAACTTTGTCATTCCTAACATTTTTTTTTGTTGGTTGTACATTTGAAATGTTGTTAACCTCAATTTCTGGAGTTGAAGAGCGAAGAATCTGATTATTTTCTGTTAAATCAGAGTTTCCATTATCACAAGATCCATTATCAGGAAAGAAAATTTCATTATTTAAAAAATTTATTATTGTTGAAATAATTATATGACTATTTTTCCATTCTTTGGTTAATTTTTCAAATGCATCCCAATTTTGTTTATCTTCTGAATTTAAACGATTAGCATTTTTTTTAAAATATTTTAGGGGCCATGGCCGATATGAAAATTGTGTTTCGTTGTTAGATTTTGTTGTTGTTAAAGGTACTGTACATGAAGCAGAACTTGAACTACTAATGCTAGAAACAAATGATAGTCTCGAAGGTTGTAAATTATGTAATTGAAAAGCACTTGTAGAAGCAGGTGAGCTATCTTTGTTATCAGAACTTGATATATCTGCTAAACATGTAGAAGTAGATGAATTAGCAATTTTTTGATGACTTATGGGAGCAGAATTTGGTTCACATATTGCATTTATTATTTGTTTCTGATAAATTTCTTTTGCATTTTTATCAATACTCAACAAGCACTTTAATTTTATATTAAAATTAATTACTTTTTCTATTTGTGAAATTTCTATGTTTTCACGATTTAATTTATTATTTCTTAAATTATCATTTTTTCTACGATCATCAATCATAGAATTATCACTATCACTTATAGTAACCACAATAGAACTTTCACTTTTGGGTAAATGAATTGGATCATTTGCAATTTGAGAATCCAGTTCTTGATTTGAATCTTCTATTAATTCAACATTATCACTATTATCTGAAACATCATTTAGAAAATCATTTTTTTTATTTTGAATATTATAATTGGACTTATGAATATCTAGTATGTCCTCTTCACGGTCCTTTATGAAATTGGTATCATTTTGAATGTTAACTCCTTTACAATTCGCATTAACTGAATCTATGTCTTTTGAACTAATTTCTTCATGCGACATATCTAAAATAATTTCCTCATTTTCATTAATTTTAATTAATTCTGTACAGTTAGGTTTTACAGCTGCTTTATAATAAGCTACTTCCATGTTCATTCTGTTTTTTACTGCATTTGGAAAAGTACAAGTGTGATCATTATTTAAAAAAATATTCTGTAAGTTGTCAATTTCGTTCTGATCTAGAATTTCATGATTTAAATTTGAAGATATTTGTGGTATATTATAATTATTCTTAATTTTCTGTATACATGTTACGTCATTTAATATACAATTACTTTTTTGTTCTGATTTATGATCTGTTTTTAAATTAGTTACAAGTAATTTAGATGTTTTTGGTTCAACTTTATTATCTATGATTATTATATCATCTTTAACTTTGGAATCAAAATTATTAATTTGTTTGCAACAAATTACTGATTCTAATTGACTATTATTATCAACAGAATCCACAATTTTACTGTCTTTAATTTGCCCAACTTCTAAAATTATGCTTTTATTCTTGATTCTATTATTAGATTTATTTTCATATCTTTCATTAGTTAATGTTCTGAAATATTTTGAAGCTCTTGCATTTGAAATCTCAATTTTTCTTTTGAAAGATTCTTTATTAAAAATATTATCGCTCTTCCTGTGCATACTCATTAAATTTTGAAATACATCATTTTGTATTAATTTTTGTTCTATATTGTTCTTATCTTTATGTTTGTCATCTATATTATTTATACTTCCATCAGTAATTGGTACAAAATATTCTTTTTGTTTTTTATTAGTACTAAAATTATCTAAAACAACTTTTTCATGATTTATATTCTGTTTTGTGTAATTCTCAATAGTACTTTTATTTAATTGTTCGTGATTATTATTGCTTAAAATCTATAAATATATTTTTTAATATTATCAAATAATTAATTAATGGAAACGAAATTCTTAAATTACCTGAGGATTATTTTCAAATATACTATTCTCAGTATTGATAGAATCAATCAAATAAAAATCTTGACTTTCTTTTACATTTATATCTAAATTTTTAATAATAATGTTTGATTTGTCATCTACAGCAACTTGAGAAACAACTTCTTTACTTAAATCAGTTAAATCCATTCTAATGAAATAAAAAGAAATACTTCCTGTAAAATTGTATAACATACAAATACTTGTATACATAAATTAATTAATAACAACGATTTAGTTATTTAGTTAAATGAGGAAGTCATAAAAATCTTAATTATTTTTTGGTTCCAAAATTTTTTTTGTTTTGATTATATAAATTTGCATCTTCTTTTAAACTACTAATCTGCAGTATATACAAGATAATTATAAATAATTGCAGAGTGCAAAATCTTGCAACATTAGGTAAAATAAAATACATTGGTTACATTGGTCTAAAATATTTTTTTTTATATATTTCTTAATTGAAATTAAATTAAACCCATATTCAAATATATTTACTTCTTTCCTAAATGTATTTTATATTTTGTATCTAAATAGAAAAGTTGAAATTTCAATTTTTAAGATAAATATAAGCAAGAAATTTATAAGCAATCTTATGCTGTACAATTATAACAGAAATAAAAACAATCGATTTTATTGTAAATGATTTTATCATAAAATAACAATCATATTTATTATAAATTTATAAACAAAAATTTTGTTTAAATTATATATTCTTTTATTACTTGTTTTAACATGTTATGGCTATAAGCAATTGTTTAATTGCAAATTAATCAGTGATTATAACGGTTCTATAAGCTTCTTGAATATTTCATTCGTTAAAGAAACATTCTTATACACTAGCAAGTCATTTGACATATTATAACTATGTATTTGTTGTTGATATACGTATTTTTATTTTTTTTTTAATTTCTGTAACTTAAATAAAAAAAGCATTATTTGAAATTAAATAATATTAAACTATTTTATCTAAATAACAATTATTAGTATATTTAATATTTTATCATATAATGAAATTTAAAATGAATTTTATTATTTATTTTATAATCAAAAAGCTATAAATAAAAAATGTAATTATAATTTATATACATTATTACTTTCTTTAACTCTTACTATTTCTAAATTCTTGGGATATATATAATTATTTTATATATACAAAATATGTGCTTTTTTATAATTAATTTTTTTATAATAGTAGATGTTATTATAATTATAAATTTAAACTTTACTGAAAACGATTGTTATGTTATTATTAAAAATGCAATGCATTGGTATATTCTTTGATAAAAATTTTTAATTATAATCAATTATGTATAAAGATATTTATTTAAAAACTTGTATTACGTTTACAGATTAACTATTAAAGGTATTGAATGAATAATTATAATTTTTAAAAATATTTAATTAATATAGATTCATAAATTTTCTGTGTTAAAAAATATGCATAATGTTAGTATAGATGTGTTTTATCATTAATTATTTTTATTTTTATGTTTAAGATTATATGTAGTTAAAATAATTAATTTATTTAGTTAACTTTAATATACAATTGCCTTAAATGTAACTTTGTGATTATGTTTCTATGCTATTACACCAGTATTTAATGTCTTATGTATAGAATTCTAATTTATTTTTATAATTGATTTAAAGAAATTATTTTTATTTTTAATACAAAAAATACTGAAATTCGTATATGCAACAATATATTATTAGCAACAAATGCATCAATCTATATTTCAACTTGTAATTAAACTATACTTATCTATACTTAAGTTACCAGTCTACACTGATTACACTAGCTATTGACATTTGGGGATTAACCTATATAAATGTTTTTTGTATATTTATACGAATTGTTTAAGATTTTTAGTTATATAGTTTTTAAGTTATTTGAATCAAATTAATTTTCAATATTTATCTCTTTTCTAATTTAATCGATATTTAAAATGATATCGTAACCTAACCGACTTACTTATTTAAGATTGCAGTACTCTTATAGGACTAAAAGAAAGAGTTAATGATAGTTCGAAAATGAATTCTTATTTGCTGCATACCTTATACATCTAATTTTTTACGTTATTTACAACAGGTGAGAAAAAAATATCAGAGTATAATTTAATTTAAAAATTATAAACTTCATGGAGAATTAAAGATAGAATTTATAGAAAAACTTTAAAAATATAATAAACATATGGAAAATAAATAAGATAAACTTATGTTATTAATATTTCAATATATAAAAATTCAAAATCTGTCAAGCTAATAATATAATAATTAATGTGTTAATATGTGATTTATTAACGTAAATAAAAATTTAAAGCTTATATACAAATATAGGAACTAATCATATAATCATTAAATGTTATACTTCAAAAAATTTCAAGATACAAATCACACGATTTTCAAGCAACGATTTAATCCATTACTAACATTAAAGTAAATTATTTAATAAATTCGTTTGTGATTAAAAATGATATTAGTAAATGTAATAAATCAATAAATTTATTCAAATATAATAGTAAACTAAAAATAACTAATTCTTATAATTAATTGTCTTGTAATATTTATTTTATAATAAACCGCTTTACTCGTAAGAAAATACGATCGGATTATAAAACTATATGATGTAAAAAATATTGATTTTAACATAAATGTATATGTATTCAATTTTTGGATCTGAATAAGGGGGATTTTTCCGTTTACAATGTTTGAATTATTATTTAAATTATATTAATAAATTATTGAATTGACATTCAAATTGAGAAAGTTCAATTTACATAAATTAATAATCTTAAAATAAAATTCTGTTTGTGTTAAGAAATTTTTCATATTATACGTAATATATAATTTAACAAATTTAATCCTCTATTTAATTAATTGTAATAATGGTTTATATCTTACAACTTCTATACAATAAATGTAAATTGTTACATAAGTCACGATTCGCGGGAAACTTAATACATAATACGCACTTAAAACAGATGAATCATTTATATTATCATATTTATTGTACAACAATAAACTAGAAAATCTGAAAAGCATACGTATGATTTTTTAATTTTGTCTGAATAATAAAAATAATTGCCTGTCCTACATCTCATGGAGAAGTAGCATTTTATGCAAATTCAATAACATACAACATACTACATAAGTAAAATAGTAGGATATAAAAAATCAAATTTTAAATATTATTTTATTGGTGATTTCATTATATGAAGTTGAAGAATAGTAAATACAGAAGTACAAGAGTTAAGTGATATTCTTTGAGCCAATGCTAAGAAAAGAATCCCGTCAAAATAAATAATATAATACAAATTAGGTGTATTATTTGTATTGATCAATATTACACTAATCTCTTATGTAAGGGATTTTAGAAAATGTATTTATAATAATTGTAATTAATTTTATTTTTATACGTAAAAATTTAGAATGATTAATAATTAAGAATGACTTTAACAATACAAGTTCACAAATATAAAATATTTATGTAAATCCATACTAAACAAAAATGTAGTCTTTCAAATTTATAAACGTATTTTTGTATCCTGTTGGTAAAATATAAGCGATGATCATTATTCGATATTCAATTTGGTTATATATAACTATTAAATATTATGAAGAAACAATTTGGAATAAATTAAACAAAATTATTTACGTTTAATTTATAAGGAGATTTATTTAGTATTCTCTTGATCGAAATACATTGAACTATCTAATGGATACTGGTTTTTACATATTTCTGTTGTTTATGTATTAATGGTATAATTCCCATTTTTAGAAAATTCATATTTTAAGTCACAATAGGCAATACTCAATTTTATAACCAAGCAACAAATTTCTATTATATTATATTATGTTACCTAATGTTGTACTTTATGTGTTTATTGTATTATGTTGTACTATTACGTGTTTTGTTGTATTATGTTGTTTTATATTGTTTTACATTGTGTTCTGTTATCTTATATTATATTATGTTACGTTATCATTATAGATTTTCTATAAAAATTAAAGAGATAGTGTTCATGTATTTAAAAAGTTACAAGAGATGTTCATATTAAAAAAAACACAAGCAGTACTTATTTACTAATGCGTTATATTTCCAATTTCGAGAAATATTATCTAGTTGAATTTGCTTCATTTGATAACATTTCACTACTAGAAAAAATATTTTAAACAATTTAAAATTAAGGGTAGTAATACTTAAAATTATTATGTTTTATATTAAAAAAAAAGACTATTAGCAAGAATTATGAAATTCAATCTCGGTTCTGATTGGTTATCTTACGTGGTAATTATAAAAATATTATCTGTATTAATAATTTCCACTGATATATTTATTTGGTCATCTATTAAGGATTTATCTTGATTCATTTAACTACATTCGTTTAACTTCATGTACCAAACTTGTTATTGAAAGTGTTAAATTTTTGTGCTTTATTTTTTGTATTAATTTAATTTTTAATTAATTTTATTGCATTAGTTTCTATCAGTAATGTATAAAAACAATTTTTATATTAAAAGGTTGTGAAGTTATGACACCAAAATTTAATTCTTTTTTATTCATAAGACGAAAAGTACTATCTCTCTGATTATTAATAATACTAACTTATTTCAGATAACATTTAAATTATTAAAGTACTTATTAAACTTCATTGAATTTTTTTAATTATTTAATATAAATTAATGAGTAGGTTGTTATATTATCAATTATTATATTAATACATTGACTAATTTTTTTACGTGTACTTGTTTTATTGCCAATTAAAAAAAATCATTAATTGTTATATTTTATAAAGTACATTCAAACATAAAAATGTTTAATGTTTCTTTTTTTATTATTATACAGTAAGTTAGATGTTATTCCTTTTGTTTTTGTTTTTGTAGTGTAGAAAAAATTTAACAGTAAATAAATTTTAAAAAATAGCAAACATATTTTTATAATATATTTTTATTATTATTATTGTTTTTAATATTTCCGTTGGTACATACTTTGCATAGATAATATCGCCGTTGTAACAATAAAAGGTTACATTTGTTAACGGATTTTATTATATCTAGCAGCTAAATTTCTATTTACTTAAAATAGAAACATTGTTATAACTCTTACTTTATTCTTTATTAAAATCAACTGCTTGTAAAACTAAACCTATTACGAAATTATTTTAAAAAACTCCTGATTAATATACCTTATAAGTTTTTTAAGCAAAAAAATTTGTATTAATAATGATTCAATACGGTATTCTTTTTATTGTTTATTATAATTTTACTTGTAATTTAATTTAATATTTTAAAAATCACCTAAACATGCAGCGTTGTACAATTAATTTATGTCAACGAGTATCCCCTCTTGTTTAAATAAAAATTGAGCTTATTACTTTAATATCAAAAGCTTTACATTACATTTTACATTTTACATTACATTTTAGTATAGATATCAGATATGTTCTAAGATTGGTTAAAGGGACACAGTAGTACATTACAAGTAATATTTTTAAGGTATTATACTTGTAAGTATAAAGGTATAATATTCAGAGTTTAGAATTAAAACAGTAGGATGTGATTCATAACAATGCAACTATTAAGATTTATTACAAGAAAAATACATAATTAATGATTTGATATTACTAAGTATATATACTCAGCTATTTGTATTAGCAGTTATACGAAACCATTTTATTCAGATATGTGTATTATAAGATTTATTTTAGTGTTCGTCATATAAAGAGTTATTTTGCGTATAAGTAAATCATATACTGTAAAAACTAGAAAATCTTTTATATACAATATTTTCTTGTATATAAATATAAATTTTTTTATAGACTTTATGCACTAGCATAAAAAAATAAAAAATTGTTATATTAATATTTTTTTATATATAAAGTTCTATTGGGTACCAATGAATAAAAATCTGTTTGTGCATGTGTTGGTGACGATATAATAGCGCTACAAAAAAATACACTAATCTAATAAGGTTCTTGATGTAATATTTTTCTAAAAAATTGTTTTAGGAGAATCAAAATTTTTATAATTTAAAAACAGAAGATGGAAATAGCTGAGAAAACAGATTTTAAAGTATTACAAACGTTGTTGTCATCTAATGAAATTTCTGAAATATCTAGTAGCGTGTGCGAAAAATTGGAAAATTTTTTTAGAAGTAAATTCGATGAATTTATAACATCTAAAGCAGTTTTTGAAACAAATCGTAAAAATTTAGGTAACAAAATTGCTTAATACAAGTTTTATTTTTATTAAATAATCTTGAATAATTTTATAATTTACTTATTTAATTTGTTTGCATTTACATTAAATTAAATTTAAACTTTTTAACATTTCTTATTTTATCATATAAAAGAAATATAAATATTTCTTACTTCTCGCTAAATATAATTGTACTAATTAAATTAAAAATCAAATTTTTCACTCGGCAAATATTAATTTTATGATTTTAATGATTGAAATTAATTCAAACGTATTATCTTATTTCTAATAGGCTTGCATTAAAATATTTAAAAATGTAGAATATATTATATTTATAAATATTTTTTTATATATTACATATAGAACAAGTATATATTATTGATTTATTTTAATCAGTCCTTTAATGATAATAAATTAATTTGCAGACAAAAAATGTAATGATTTAACAAATGATTGTAAAATTCAAAAAGAAAAATTAGACAAATGTGAAGAAAAATTAGAATTGGCTGAAAAATTTGGTTATGAACTTCAAAGTCAACTTGATGAAAATAGGAGCGAACTATATAGGCTACAAGAATGTATTAAAAGGTTGAATTTATTTAAAACAATGAATTTATTTTTAAATTATTTGAAACTTAATTTTAATAATTTGTAAAATTGTAGATTAGAAAAAGAAAATACTGAATTGAGAAAACAAAAAAATGTATTCATCGATGAAAACAATACGTTACATTCACAAGTAGATCGTAAAGATTCAGAATTGGAACGTTTGCGTACTGAGTTTGAATCTCTTGGTTCACAATTACAAGTTGCAATTGCTGCCAAGTGCCAAGCATTCACTGAAATAGAAGAAGTAAGAAGTCATGAAATGTCTCTGGATTTCAAGTATGTAATTTTTATATTTATATTAAACAATATATTCTTATAATCAATATATAATTTTTTAATATTTATAGAGAAAAACGATTGGAACAAGAGAGAGCACTTTTATCTCAGCAAATGGTTGGTCTTGAAGAAGAATTATCGAAAAGAACAAATGAATTACAAAATACTAGATCAGAGGCATCTGCTAGAGCATTGCTTACTCATACCAGGCTGAGTCAGTGTGAAGAAGAACTGAAGATCACGAATGAATCAATAATACAAGCACGAGAAACTAATTCAATTCTGCAGCATCGCTGCGAAGAGTTAGCTCAGAAATTAGATGATCAAAGGAATCATGAATTAATTATGCATGCATCTTATAAAGAAGAAGTTACAGCACAAACTAGATTAGCAGATCTTTACAAGGGAATGGCTGATGAAGCAAATTCAAAAGCTGATGATTACAGTAATGCAGTAAAAGAGCTACAAGGCTTATTAGAGCATGCCACTGAACAATATGGAATATTAGAATCAAAGTATAATCAGACCTTAATTAATCATGATCATGAAATTAATGATAAGCAGAAAAATATTGATGAATTAACGAAGGAACTTAGTCTAGCTAATGAATTTTTAAAAACTATGAAGCAAGGTAGTGTGATTATCTATAAGAAAAGTTTCAAGACACTTATATAAACATTTTTTAACAGATTTTAAGTGCATATTTAAAATAAATAAATACTTATTGATTTGAAAACATTCGAAGTATTTTAAAATTTCATTTGCATAATTTATACTGTCTGACATCTATAAAACTAAATAATTTAGAAAAAATTAATATTTCTTAATTTAATATATTAATGTATTTTAAGAAATTTTTTACACTGTTAACTTTATAAAAATTTGTACATCAAACATTTCAAATATATAATATTTCAAGTATTCTAAATTATTTATAAATTATTTTTTTTTATGTTAAAATATAATTATTTCTCTGTCTTGATTATTTATTTTGAATATATTAATATAAAAAATAAGAAAACATCAATCAGTACATCAATGAGTACATTCAAAACATGTACCAATAGAGTTATTTTTAAATTTGTTTGTTTATGTGCCTATTTTATTTCTAAATTAACTTATTACTTAAACTATATTTTGTAAATTTTACAGAACGTTTAGATCAGGCTGTAGAACAACTTGCCCCAACAGCAGCTATTGCAAGTAGAATATTAAAGAGAGGTTTGAGCTTAACACAAATTTATACTCAATTAGTAGAGACAATGAATGAATTAAGTTTAGAAAGAGAAGAAAATGAAAAACTAAAAGCTCAAATGGAAATTATCTTAAAAGAATTAGAAGAAAAAGCACCAATTTTACAACAACAAAGGGAGGACTATGAAGCTGCTATAGCTAATGTAACTAGTCTTAGTTTACGACTAGATGAATTATTATCTGAAAACACTCGCTTACAAGAAGATACCGATGAAGCTAAAAGATTAACTAATCATCATTCTAAAGAAAATCAGAGACTAAAATCAGAATTAGCTGATCTTGCGAGGCAAGTTTGTTATTTATTAAAGGAAGTTCAAGAGAGTCGTATAAATAATACTACTACTATAGAACATAGTTTAATGATAACAGATGATCTTGCATCTTCTCAAATTATTAGTAAAAATTTAGTTACATTTAAAGATATTGAAGGTTTACAAGAAAATAATCAAAAATTACTTTCAATAGTAAGAACTTTATCTTCTAGACAAGAGGAAATTGAAAAAGCTACTGATCAAATAAATTCTGGTGAAATGAAAGAAAAACTTGACAGGTATATTTTTTTTATTTAAATTACAAATATATAAAATCATATTTCAGAAATTTTATGATTTTATTTTGTATTTATTGTATTTATTATATATTTGTAAATACACAGAGATAATAAAAAATAATTAGAATCTGAATTTTTTAAAAAAAAAACAATACTTGTTTTATCTTTCAAAGAATCTTTTAAAGAAAATATGTCAATATTAATGTCATATAAAAATTCATTTTTATAATTATAATAATTGTCTCCTATTTTAAGAAACTGTATTATAAATAAATTTTCTGAAAAAATGTTTATTTCTTTTTAGAAAATTTATATCATTTCTATTAATTCGATTATTTCAAGGTTTAGATCAATTAAATATCTATATAAAATATATAATTTAACATAGATATCAAAAAGTTCTATACATTAAGAATATGATTTCACAAAAATATTGTTTTCTTTAATTATAAGTAATCGAAAATTTTTCTAATTATGCAACATTTTAATTATTAAAATTCATCTTAAAGAAAAATATAAAAAACTTTCAATATCAATAATTAAGTTTGAAATAATGTCTATAATGTATCTTCATAGATACTATTAAAAATGTAGTTGATTATGTTGTAGGAACTACAGTATACGAGATATAGAAAAAATTTTGACCATTTTAAAATTATAAAATTGCCTAACTTATTACTAATATTTATTTTAATACAGGTAGTTTTTGTCATTTTCTTACAATTTGTATCTATAAGCAATGTTCAACGATATCTTTTCCTAAAATCATTTAGAATTCATTTCCTAAAATATTAGTGATGATTAACTGTAAGACCAACAAATAAGTATAGTTTTATTTTTGTAACTTAATATCTCATTCTAACTAAAGTTCTATATATTCTAAAAATTCTATAAAATTCTAAATTAGGAATTCTTGATAATAAAATGAAATAAACTAACATTTTTTATTTTATTAAGTTTGTATTAGATGGCATTACATATAAAAAAATTATAAATGTAAGAATGAAAGTATTATTCTATATATTTTAGAATTTTCTGTTTTTCGATTATTTTTAATTATTAGTTTAAAAATTGATGATTTTTTTGTATATAAAAAATTTTTGTAGGTATATCGAACAATTGACTGAAATGCAAGCAGCTCAGGATAGACAAACACAAATGTTAGAAGGTTTATTAAAACAACGCGATATGTATAAAAGCATGTACCAACAATGTATTAATGAAGCCTGTAATATAAAAAATTCAGAAATAAATGAGCATATTAACAATGAAGACCAAGATACTCAGGACAAAAAAATAACAAATTTACCAAATGAATGCAAACAAATAAATGATGAAGTAAAAAACTTATATAAACAAGTTCAAGAATCTGAAGCTAGGTTTAATCAAGTACGGAATGATTTTGACATATATAGAAGAGATAAAATTGCCCATGAACAAATGTTGAGCGATGAAAATGAAAGATTACGCAAAGACACAGAAAAGAATTCAATTCGTTGTTGTCGATTAAAAGCTCAACTAGATTCAGCTAATGAACGATTCAGTCTTTTGCAGGGAAATGTTGCTACATATAAATCTCAAATTAAAGTTTTAGAAGAAAAATGTAATAATTATAGCACAACAATTGGTAAGTAAACTTAGTTTTTAATACATACTACTTATTATGATAAACTTAATAATCATAATTATTTTTAATAGGTAAACATGAACAAAGCTTAATGATACTAAAAGATGAAACCTTAAGCGCTCAAAGTAGATTATCAAAAACAGAGGTACAATTACAAAATTTAAAACAAGAGAGGCAGCTATTACGAGATTCTGAAGGGCGTCTTTTAAAAGAGAGAGAAGTTTTACAACGGGAGAGACATACGAATGCTTTACTAAAAGCAGATATTGAAGCAATAAAAACAAGTTTAGATCGTGTTCAAGCAGAAGGGCAGTTACGCATGGAGCAGCGATTAGACGATGCTTCGAGAGAATGCGCTGCTTTAAGAAGACGATTGCAGGAAGAACAAGATCGATTCAGAGAATTATCTTTACATTTAGAAAGACAAATGAATACAACAAAAGATCGATTAACTGAAGAAAAATATCTTAATGAAAGAATTCAATCAGAACTTAATACTTCTCGATTAGCCGAGCAAGAGTACTTAAAGAGAATAGATGATTTAAATTCTCAGCTCAAACAAGCATCTGTAAACACTATTTCTCAATCCATTACAGGTATTGCAAACACTTTCATTTTCAAAATAAATATTTTTATATTTTAGTAGTAAAAAAAATAATTATTTAATTCTTGAACACAATAATTATTTTAAACGAATAAAAAGTGAAATTACTTAATTACTACTAGACAATTATTTTGATTTAAATCTTATAGCGCTTGAAATGTAAATATTTTTAGTGTTTTAATATAAAATAATATAAAAATATCTTGAAGCTCATTACTTTGTGTTGCTTAATATTATTTGCTAGTTTTACTAATGTTAATCTCCGTAATTTTAAATGTATAATTTTATGTACAATATATTATATATTATGTAAATAATAAACAATATATACAAAAATTAAAATGAATGTAGAGATTCGTGTAGAGATTCATGATATATACATGAAATTTATTATACGTAGCAAAATATATAATTATTTAAATTTCAGGAGATAATGATATAAGTAAACGAGTAAAAGAGTTAGAAGCTCAACTTGCTTGCAATCAAGCAGAAATAAAATGCCTGTCTGACCAATTAAAAACAGCTCGCTTTCAAAGCCAACAATATTGCGATATAGCTGAGAGCTCGGAATCACAACTTCGAGAAGCAACGATGCAATTTAGTAAATCAAAGGAAGAACTTGAAAATAATTTAATTATGGCTCGAGATGAAATTACAATTTTACAAAATAGGATAAAACAGTTAGAAGAAAAAATACCAAATAAATCAATTGAACAAGAAAACGATTCTGAGATAAGAAAAAAATTAGCTACCGCAGAAAAACATATTGAAGAACTTAATGAATTGAAAAGTGAACTGGTTATTGCAAAAACTGATTTACAAAACGCTTCAAGTGTAGCAGCTTCTGCAGAAAATAAATATGCTCGAGAAATGATTTTACACACTGCTGATCTCCAAATACTAGCTAAATTAAAGGAAGAAAATCAAGTATCTAACGAAAAAATGACAGAATTAATTTTGCAAAGAAACTCAGCTAAAGAGGCATTAGAAGTTGAAAAATCTATGTGGCTTGAACGAGAAACTTATTTACAAAATGAAATTCAGAAATTACAAAATAGATTAGAAGATTTAGATGCTCAAAATGTTATTCTACATAATCAAATTCAAGAATTAAGTGAGCGAACAGCTATAGTCCACAGTCAAAAACAATTGAATATTGATGGTCACCAAAGTCTGAACACAAGTTTTGAATATATGAATCGAAGCTTTAATGATGAAGATTCAAAATCAGCAGAACAATTATTACAAGTTATGAAATACTTGCGTCGCGAGAAAGACTTAACTTTTGCTAAATTCGATGTTCTTAAGTCTGAAAATATGAGACTGAAATCTGAGGTTGAGCTTGCAGAAAAACGAATTGAAGAAATAAAAAAATTGCTTGAACGCGAACGTGAAAATAATGAAATACATGTAGTAACAACATCAAAACATTCAGAATTATTACGAAAAGTTGAAACATTGAATGCTATAACAGATTCTAATAGAATCCTCCGTGAAGAAAGAGATTCTCTTAATCTTAAAATTAAAGATTTCATAAATAAGTTAAACTTATTAACAGATGAAGTAGCACCATTACGCGAAAAATCTCGAGATTTAGAAGCAAAACTTGAGTCACTTTTACAAGAAAATAGTAGTTTGAAAGGTGAAGCTATGAGATGGCGCCAAAGAGCGAATACATTAGTAGAAAGAGCCAATAAAGCAAGTCCGGATGATTGGCGCAGATTACAAACGGAGAGAGAAAATCTGAGCAAGCTTTTAACTTCAGAGCGTGAAATACATATTAAACGTATTGAAGAATTAAACTGCATAAAAAATGAGAAAATTAGATTGGAAGAACAATTACATCAAACTCAACGTCAATTAAAATCACATGAAGACGTAATAATACAAATGACAGATGATGTAAATAAACTTAGTGAAGATCTTAATGATTTTATTATTAACTCAAATGAGAAAGGGAGAGATTTAACGAATTTGAGAAAAGAACTTTCTGATAAAGATGCTATGCTCACTGATTTAAAAAACAAAGAAATTCAAATTCGAAGAATAGCAAAGAAATATAAGACTCAATATGAAGAATTAACAAAAACAGTGGAAGAAGAAAAAAATCGAATAGATAACCGACAAGTATTTCAAACTAATATAAATAAAATAGTAAATGAAGATGATATACAGGTTAGTCTAGAAAAAGAAGCACAATTAAAAGAAGATAGATTGGATTTAAAACAAGCTAACGATCAATTGAATTTAGAAAATGTTGAATTACGTCAACAGGTCTTAGTCATACAGTCTGAATCTGAAAACTTAAAAAAAGAAATTGAAATAATTAATAAAGTTAGCCTTGAAAAAGAAGAACGGGCTAAACAAGTTCTTAAAGGAGCCCGAACTAAGATCATGCAACTTACTGAATATAAAAAAGTCTGTGAAAAGGAAATTCACGAACTTAAAGAGAAGCTTAATTCGAGTACAAATGAATGTGAATCAAGCTTAAGTGAATATGAATCTAGACTTACAACATTAAAATCACAAATGGAAGGACGAATTATGCGTCTTGAACACGAGCGATCTGAACTCCAAGTTGAAAAAGAAGCTTTATTACAACGAGCAACACAATATCAAAGGCAAATATCCGGTCAAAGCAATCTTGGCACTGGAATAAGTGAACCTCCAACTGCAAACATTAAACCAATGTCAGCACGGACAGAAACACCTTTAGCTAGTATTCGTCCTATGAGTGTGGTTGTACAATCTCGTACAGCCGCTGTTCTCCCTACAACTGCAGGGGCTCCACTTCTGCTAACATCCCAACAATCTCAACAACAAATTGTGCATACAACTGAAACAAGTTCTCCTACAAGTTCTCATATGGATTACCAGCCAGCTAGTACAAGTAGACAGTTGTTAGTACAACCTCAATTAAATGAATCAGCTGAATCTACGCAACGTGAAGAACTAGAATCTGTAGATCCATTATCTACGCAACAGCAACAACAACAGCAACAACAAACTGTGGCGTTAGTTAGTCCACGAGTTGATCAACAACAGCTACAACAACAACAACAACAACAACAACAACAACAACAACAAATACTTCCAGGTGATCAACAACAAACTGTACCTAGTAGTTCAACACAATCAGTAAGCACTTCACATACTTCCGTATGTCATAAACGCCCAAGAACTTTAGATTCATCAGCCGGCTCTACTTTAAACGAAAATCTAGATCATACACGACAAGAACAAATATCAAGCCCAAAGAGTAAACGGAGCAGGCAACAAGATCTACCTACCACACCTGCAAGTGCATCGGATATCGAATATCAGGTATTCATTTAAATTATATTACTTCAATTCATTTAGTTAATTTTTTCATATTTATTATGTAATTAAATATTAGCATGTAATAGAGAGAAAGTATTATGTAGATATTTTTGATAATTAAATTGAAAATTTTAAATTTATATAACTTAAATTATAAATTATAAATTATATATTTTAAATTTATATAACATATTTAAATGTCTTCACAATTAATTTCTTTCTTAGTTAAAAAGAATTGAAAATTTTGTTGTTTAGTCTTTTATGAACTCAATATTTATATTTAATTAATTAATAAAATATATTTGTAATGATAATGTAATGTGAGTTATGTTGTATTTTTATCATTTTAAGATCCTTTAAAAATTATTTTTCTTTGATAAACACTAGTATGTTTGTATCATGTATATATAAATACTTATTTACTCTAAAAAAATTAATAGAGTTTTTTGAAAAACAATTACTGAAAATTTATTTTAAAAAATTATATTGATTTTTATGTATATATAGGTTCCAACATCTAGTCAAAGAGATCACGATGAAGAAGGTGACGAAGGTTGTGTTGTTGTAGTTGATTGTGATGAAGGAGGTGGAGCACATCAACCCCCAGAAGAAGAAGAATTCGATAACGATCCTTATGAGGAAATTGAAGAGGAAGAGATTCCTTATAACGTAGAAGAAAGAGATAATAATGAGGTTGAAATAATTATGGAAGAAGATTCTACAAGTGCAGAAATTTCTAGACAAATTCAATCTGGACCTCCATCAAATCAGCAACAACAATCTGAAGCAATAAGCAGTGCAGGGCCAACTGGTGAGCCGCCCTCTTTCGTATCACGATCGTCAAGAGGGATCGCTCCAATGCCTAGAACGCAGTCACAACATTTGCTACTTGTAAATATAAGAATAACTTTTTTTAATTATTCTTTAACATGATATGAAACAATAAATATATATTCGATTTAATAATATATATTTATATATAATTTATTATTTTGATATGTAAATTTCACTTTGATCGTATTAAATATAAACTCTAATTATTTGTCGTAATGCAATATGAAACGAAATGTTGAGAAATTGGAATATTTATGAAAATAATTTTTGAATTTTACTCATGCAAGTACAATATATTAAAGTATAGCATTAAATTTTTAAGTTGAAATGACTAAAATACTTGACATACCAAGATGCAAAATCTAGTCTCATAAAAAGTACATTGCGTTTATGGACAATGTAACGATCCTTATTTATTTGTAGATAATTCATTTAAAAAATGATATAAAATATATTTAAAAATTAGATATTGTCAGTATTTAAATACAAATTTGATGTCTTAAACAAGCTTTTATTTAAATAAATGGATAATTTATTTAAATAAAAGCTTGTTTGAAATATCAAATTTGTATTATTTATTTTTTTATAATGTTTGTAATTTATTCATAATTTATTATTAATTTTATAAAAATAAATAATTTAATAGATTCGATATATTAAAAAAAGGAAATCTAAAAAATTCCATTATAAAAGAAAAATACAAATATAGCAAAATAAATTTTTTAGCATAATTTTAAAATCTGGTAAAATCTGTAGTATTTTTTTAATTATTTTTCATGGCAATTTCTTTATTTTAATACATGTAAACTACAATATATAAAATGTATTATTAAAAACATTTAATTTTGAAATAAATACTAATGGCAAAGCATAAAAATTATTGTATTTGAATATTTTCCATAATATAATTCATCTTGTAATTTTATGAGCTATTCATACAAAATTAAACATGTCTATTTAAATTGAGAACATTAAGAATTAATTTCCATGTAATGCAAATTTGAAATATAGATTTACTGAAGAGCTTATAAACGAATGCATCTTATTATCAATTTTTAACTGTTTGTATATCCATATGTAAAATTTGAACTAATGGAGCCTGGAAAAATATAAAAATCTCTTTTATTGTAAATATTATTCCCTAAATTTCTTAGCCTTTTCGCAACAAAAAAAAATATTAATAGTTAATATATCAGGAACTTGAATATTCCAGTAACTACAAAAATAATATTTAGTAAGCAGCTTGAAAGAGACTATATCGGAATAAAATATTATGAACTTAAGCATATACTTTATATTTATTATTAAAAATTATAAATTAATAATAAAATATTAAAAATAATATAATTAATATTAAGACATTATTTTGCAGCCACAACAAGGATATGAAGATGGAGGCGATGACTGTATAGTTCCTAGCACACCAACATTATTTATGCCTAGAAGAAACGATGGCTTTGGCGAAGCAGTTAGCTCACCACAAGTACCTCAAGGAAGATTTACATTCGGAGATCCTTCGACATCTGTTTCAGCATCATCAGGACAAACGCATAGCAACTCAACCAATTGTGGAACCAGAACAATATTTAGTTCAACTAGTTCAGGTTTAGCTCAAGTTATGCGAGAAGGAATGGATGATACACGAGTAGATCTTACGCAGTTGGAAGATAGCGACACTAGCCATCCTGTTCCAACTACGCCACAACAAGTATCTCCAATAATAGAACAACCCGGATCAGTAAGTAGTATTATATAAATGACAATTTAAATAAAACTATAAATAGGAAGAACATACTGATACGAAAATACTAAATGAATAAAGGTCATCATTAAAACTAATTGTAACCCTAAATAAAATTACTACAATTTAAAATAAATATCTTGTATAACAGACATATACAAAAATCGCAATTAATTTTTTATTCTTAATTAAGCCTACATTTGTTGTGGTCTCCTAAATCTTGCAACTCGAAATACGAAACAATTTATCAATCCTTCAAATAGTAAATACTCAAAATTAATTACAATTATAAAGATATTTTATGTGTTCAACTAACGATAATAATATTTTAAAAGATTGATAAGTAAACATGCATTTTCAACATACATATTACAATAAACCATAGTTTATTTCGCTGCTTAAAATTACGTTTTACTAACTGAAAATGTTAATACTTATTATATATAAGATTAGGTTATTATAATAAAATTAATTATTTGTTTTCAAATTAGAAATAATTTTATTTCATAAAGCTAAACTCAAGTATTTTGAAAAAATTATGAAGAATAAGTAGGATACTTTTATACAAGGAAATTTTATTACTAGTATAACACGAATACTGTACTATATACTAGTTATTGTTGTGTACTATAAAATTCGTTAACTTTTGATACATATATTAATAGCAATTTAATTAGCATTCCTCATAATTGTATTAATTTGTCTACATATTTTAATAATTATTCAATTTATTAAATGTAATAGAATAGAATAATCTATTGAATGAATGTATTTAATACATTACCGTTACAGAAATTAAGTTTGAGAAATAATAAAAGAGATTTTTAATGTTATTTTAATATTGATATTTAATATCCATAAAACATTACATCTTTCCAAATTTTTGATTATTAATAATAATACCAAAAAATATAATGAAATTAAAAATTATTTAAATTTAGTGCTAAAAAAATTTTTTAATGTATAATCAATTATTTTTACATGTATTAGATTACGAATAGACCTCCTGATGAAGATATCTCGATACCAGCTTCGACTGAATCTCAAACAAATGTAGGTGAAGAAACTGATGTAACAATTGCGCCAGCTGTGCGTATATCTTGTGTTCCTGAACAGGAGGATGATCAAAGAGATATAGTACATTTGGAACTCACAAATGATACAGAAGGTACCTTATAATATTTCAATTATTTTTAAATAATGATTTAAGTATATAATCTTTATCGTATAATCCGATCAATTCACAAACCCATAAAATTATGTTGTTTAATTTTAAAGAAGTATAAAATAAAAAATAAATATATTAAATTAGTTAGCTAATATTTAGATATTTTCTAAAATAGGAAATACTGTGGATATCAATAAAAGATCAGAAGAAACCAGAACTGCAGGATCGACTGGTGGCGATGAAGATATAATCGATGCTGATATAGAAAGTAACGAAGAAGTAAATGAAGAAACAGGTGATAATGATTCAAAAGAAGATAATCGTGAAGCAGAAGCTTCCCCTTCTAGTAATACTAGACAGAGAGCTATGGCAGCAGCAGCAGCTGCTGCTAGCACTTTAATGTGTACAATACGAGGAGCTACAGCAAGACGATCTGCGAGAACAACTTTTAGAACTACTCGCGCCACAAGGCCAACACCAATTGTTTGGGATACTCAATCTACTCGTGGTAAGTGTTTTAATTCTGTTTAACTATTAATTAGATATCTAAATTAATTAATCAAATACAGTTATTAATTTAGAACAATGTAATATATTTTTAAAATTGTTAATATATAGGTATAGTTCATAATGCTAGTATAAATTAGAAGTTAAAAAAATATAAATACAGATGTATTCAAATATTAAAAACAAATAAACTATTCAACTTTGAAACCATCTTAATATTTATACTGATGATTTAACTGCCGTTTTACAAGTATTATAACTTACAATAAAGAAAATTATGGGACAGAATAGAAATAATATAATTATAAATGTTTTTATTTTGTTTTAAGGAAATTTTTTAAAAAATTGTGATCTAATTTTAGATAGCTTTTTCTTTGTTAATTTGAATCATAATCAAACTCATCGACCAAAATAGAATATGATCTAGATAAATAACTTCAGTTTCTTACTTCAAAATTATAAATATTTCTTAAGATTTTATATATAATTAAAATTAATACCGAAAATTATGTATAATGAGCATTTAACCATCATTGGACAATTTGTACTTGCGGGACTAAGAGAAAACAAAACTCTGAGAATAGCATAAAAATATAGACCAAATTCCATTATATAAAATAAATTCAATAATTTTGTTTATAAAAAGTAGAAAATTTTATATTATATATTTACAATGAAATGTATTAATAATGGAATTAATAATTTTTTCGGAAATAAAATCAGAATGTCTAAAACAGTACTGCGTTAAATAGCATTATGATTATAAATAGGACATATATGTATATAGCATTATGATTTATTAGATGGAACGGTCTATCCTACATTTAATCACCAAGATACGGTTGCTTGGAACTGTTCTTGTGGTGAATGGTTTTCTACACAAGATGCTCCTTGATGATAATGATGATTTGTTAATTTTATAAGGACCAACAATTGAGTGGCACATTCTTTATTAGCGAGTGTGTGTTATGCTGTTTTAATAATTGCGTCATTCACATCATCACAAAATTAATATTTTAATTTATTAATTTTTAATTACTTAAGAATACTGAATTAGTTAAGATTTTACAAATTTTAACTATTCAAAATAATTCTAAGTATTTATATACCTTTAAAAAATTACCAATATCTTGCCGATACATAAATTTTCAACTATTTATTATAATATTATTATAAAAATTAATTTACAACAACGTTTATGTATAAGATCAATAAATACAGGCTCAAATAATTAATAAGCATGTTTTTCATATAGAAAACGAAATATCTTGTTTCTCAGTTATAGATACTAAAATTTTTATAAATTCTCATCCCACGTAATTACTTATATATATATTGTTTGTCCTTAGTAATAAAATCATTTAAATTATTGCAGGCTGTACTTTTGTACATATTTTGTACATTCATTTTTTAATTATATTTTGTTAAGAAATAAATAGAATTTAAATATTATATTTTTAGACAATAGAACCAATTGAATATATATTATGCTTGCAGTAATATTTATTATATTTAAGAAGTATTACTTGAATAAATATTTTATTTATGAGTACATTAATTATTTAAAACCTATTAAGGAAATTTTTGTTTTATATTTCAGGACAAAATGTAGTTCGGGGCCATGCGATAAGGGGAACATCAAATGAAAGTACACGAGTACGTGGTGCTAGAGGCCGTAGAATACGTTCAAAATATCCTTACAATTATTAGACTTCAATTTATTATATTTCAAAATTAATATGTATAAAAAAATTTTGTTTTATATTGGCTTATTTCAATTTTTATGCTATTGTGAACCAATAAATTTACAAAAGTGATGATATAAATAAAAAAAACAATTCAAAGCATTGTAGTGTATTATATATTATTATTTAATGTGATTTATTAAAATACACTAAATTCACATACTGGTGTTCTTTTTAAGATAATTCTTATCTATTATATGCAAATGTATGTTTTAAATTAAATTTATAAAACGAAAATGTATGATTAAAGACTTCATTCCAAAATTAAACATTAATTTCACAAACCTATACTCAAAAAATACAATCAAATTCCTATTATTTGTTTAATAGTTCTTGAATATTATTTCTGAAAATACATTATTTTATTTTAATAGAAAATCTGTTATTTAGAAAAATCGATATTACAATATTTATATTTACATTCTAAAATCTAAATTTTCGTTTACAAGAATTATATAACTATATATTTTTTTAAAATGTTAATTTTTATGGAAATAATACTTAAATTTTTTTTATGAAATAACTAATCATTTTGTTCAATTGTGAAAGCATATTTTAAAGAATTCTATATTATTTCTAATGACTTTAAAAGAAGAAAACATAATTTAGTAATATTTTTAATACAATTATTCTAAATTGGAGCATTTTCCAAGAAATTAGGCTCTTGGAAATGTACAAGCCTTCTACCTCTCTAATTTTGTAAACATTTGACTTCAAGAATTCTCAAATATTGCAAAGCTTTACCTTCGAACCTCCTACAATGGTTATCTGGTATCCGCATAGCAACATCGGTTGGAATTCTACCTTCTAAAGCTTTACTTTCCCGAAATTCTCGAAACTTCTAAAGCATTAGACAAGAATTTTCTGCAATGTTTTTCGCATAGCAATACCTATGTGTTTGAAAATGAAGGTTGTTTTGTGACTCGAACTGCTAATTCAATAGTTCAGTGCATTGGTCTATCGCCGTAGCGATTCGTGGGGAAAACACATGTGGAAAGACAGAAGCCATGTAAGTGTATATCTTTGATTTATGATATTGTTTATTCTAGTTTATTAACAATTACAATATTGCAGTTTGAGAATTACTTCTAGTGAGAGAGAGAGGGAATTATTCTATTTCAATGGTGAGGTTGCTTCTTTGGAATGGTGGCGATGTCGTTCATGTTATAGAAATAACAATGAATGTTGATTATTGGGTTTATGTTGATGTTATAAGGATCAGCATGAGCAGTCAACCATGCTCATCAATGAGTATGGGAAGATGGTAATGGTAGTTAGCAGTGCTTAACAGGGAGAATTTTACATACTCAAAGGAGGAGTATGTTAATGTTTCTGTGGTAGTTATCATGTAAAATCGACTATACTCCAAGGGGAGTATGGGAGTATTAGTGAGCTAGTCATACGCAAGAACAATAAATTATATACCTTCGAGTGCGGAAGGACTTGATATTATGAGATTATAGTCGACTATTTACGAACAGCAGTATTGTAGGTTATGTGGACTGGAGAAGTGAACGAGCGTTCTTTGCAGTGAAAGCAATGAAAGAGCGTAACTGTACTTCAAAGGGAGTGCGTGACTATACTCCAAGGAAAGTGCGAAAGGATTTGTTACCTTCTTGGCAGACTGTATGAACGTGGTTTGAGCGTGGATGACTAGTTTGGACAAATAATTGTTTGATGGCACCTTATGAACTACCGACACTGCATACTGACGACTGCTTGGCTTGGCGCACTTAGTTGTTATAAGTCTTATAGCTTCACTGTTGAATTACTAACCTGTAGGCTTCGTAGTTGTGATCATAACTGATACTTGATTGATTGAGACATACGGTGCGCAATAACAGATGAGTGAACTATTGGTAATAGTAGAGTGAGCCTAAAGATAACTGTTGACTGATTAGATGGTAAAAGCACAGTAAGCCCGGTGCGTGGCGAGCTGCTCTTAAATATTCGAGTAGCAGCTTGCGACGCTGGTAATAGTACTTGGGCTTGTTGCTAGGCCGAAATTCTTGATGACATCAGAAAACTGAGCTCCAGAATATTCGTGAAGTAGACAAAGACACTGCCTTGGAAGTTTGGACAATTTTCATCGATTTTGCTATGCGGAAATATGGTAGGGCATTTGAAATTAAGGTGTAAACAATTTAAGAATTCGCAGAATTAATGTTTACAAACACGAGCGTTCGAAAGTTTGTACTTTTCCCAAATTTGAATTCTTGAATAATGCTCCAATACTGAACACTATGCATTGTTGCCAACAAAGTAAGCTGCCACATGGATATTTAAAGCAAGCACATCACGAGACGGCGCTTATATTTACTCAGCCCGGAAACCAGTCAGTCATGCTAGTCAACCAGCTAGCTATTTGCCACACACTCTCAAGGTAAAACCACTGAGGAAGGAAGACGCGTTTACTCTCCTGTCCTGCAAGATAACGGAGTTTACACTGTCCTCTTCAAATCCTTTTCAGTGCTAGACTATAACAACAGATAATTCATCTACATGGAGCATCCAAAATAGTGAAACTAATCAGCTACACGGATCATCCGGGATGGTGAAAGTTCAACACAGAACAGGTCTAGGCTACTGTTTTTCTATGAGTAAACATAGTCTAAGGGATAAATCATTGCTAATCCTTACAAGATTAGTATGATACTATTATTAATATAACACAACTATACTCACTAATACGAGTTGTATAATAAGTTGCTGATTCTTACAAAATGAACAACATCAAGGAACATCTTGTGTAGATATACTATTCCCTACGGAATCAGTTCAAGTAACTGAATCAATGTGATTGAACATAGTATATACCCATCCATCACATAATTCCAACACAACAATAATATAATTGTGAATAAAATTAATAAACCATATTAAACGAAGAAGCACACGCTGTATTAAGGTATACCCCTTCTACTTGACTCATTTCCAAGAATACATAAGAGCGGGCGGCAAATCATAATTAGCTATCGCATTTGATAGTTCGATCCAGAAAATTACACACTTTTGAACATTTGGTCTTTTAAGCAGGATTAGTGTATCGGATCACTGCAATTTTCGAACAATAATAAATATAATAAAAAATTAATTTAAGTTAATAAGCTCAAAAATTTGAAAAAATATTGCTCTGCCCATTATTTCATATACATTTTAATCACCGAACAATGATTTAATAATTTATTTCCAAAATAAATTTGAATTTTAGCATCATTTAAATTTTGTTTTTTGGCACATTTATAACAATGAATTACTATCATATTTTTTCTTGATTTATTCTTTACAAGAGGTCTTTACAAAATAACAAATTCTAATTACTTGTAATATTCTTTTTTTTTGTTTTTTTGCTAGATTCCTGAAGTATCAATCAGCTTACTCCGTTACTGGACATACCTGTTTTTTTATTGATCCTAATTTCTGTTCAGCACATCTCTTATACACTCGTGCATGTATTAACGGTAACCGTGTATCAGATTAACTTCGTTTACCTCTTTTGGTTACACATTATGCGGTATTTTTTACATATTTGCATATATTATACCTTTCACAAATTCTATAATATACCCGATGATGTACTGATTCACCGGAAATTCGCTTTTATTTTCAAAATATTGAAGTTTACTCATCCGCTTATAACTTATAGCCATCTAATTAGCTGTGTTTTGCAACTTAAACCTAACTTTTGTAAGTATTTATGTTATTGATTTTATGTTACTGTAATTAGATACAGTATTATTTTAGAGTAGCAAGTATATATTTAATTTTCTTTATTATTTAGTAAGTTTTTATTAGAATTTATTTACTCAAGACTTTATTTATTAAATCATTGTTTTATAATTTTTTTTATATCTTTTCATACAGACTCTAACTATTTTCGAATTATTCAAATTAAGAGAATTAATCAAAATAAAATAAGTGATACGTACTATCATGAAAGAATTGCCTTAATTTAAAATCAACTAAAATCTAACAAAATAGCAGAAACATAATAGTATAATGTTAAAACTTGAAAACAAAATTTTTAAGTTTTAAAATTTTTAAATTTTAGAGTAATACATCAAATTGTAAAATTTAAATGCATGTTCAATTAATGCAAACAACTTCTGTTTCACTCATATTTATCTTGTGTTTAATGTACATAAAAAGGGACTAACAAATTCAATTATTTCAATAAAATAACTTTAATTTCAATGGACTTGAAATTACAAGTATATTTTTATTTTCTTAAACTCTAATTATTTTATCCAATAAATGAGAATTTCAAATTATACATTTTATAAATATTTTATAATGAAAAAAGTATACGAAGAAATTAGTGTAAATTAATTGTATTGAATTTAAAAGGTAATATTTATGAAAAAGTAAACAAATAAATGACGTATATATGATTTTTATAAAAATAATATTAATGCACATTTGTTTAATATTGATTCAAGTAGAAAACTCATAAGTAAATTATTTTAAGTTATTGTTAAAAGTTAAAATAATCCTAAATGATAAAATATATTATAATTTGTTTCTTTAAGACACGATTACTTTTAGTATCTGTTAGAAATCCTGTAGATTTATCTACATTGCAATAATAAATATTTGCAAGAATGTGCAAAAGTATTAATTGCGCATGCTTCAAGTTTGGTATATCAACTTTCTCGATAGTGTTCCTCTTTTACAAAGTTCAGTTATACATAGTTGGTTGATGTTTTATTACTAGCTTCAGACTTAATTTCAGAATTCCAATTTATTTTTATTGCTGTTCTTTATCAATACGTATTTACAGTGAAAGGCGATATCGAAAAAATAGGTGTAATAAGGATAACCACGTATGATGTATCTATTATCATGTAATAAATCTATCATAGCAATTCACTTTGTTACAGTAACTCGTAAGTATTTTGAGCAATCAATTTTTATTGTATGAACTCGTGCAAATATTATTTAATTATTTGAGTAGTAAATTCTATACTATATTTGCAATTATAATCGAAATTACCTAACCTTGTAAGTTTATATAAAAAGTTATTTTATCAGTAAAATAATATTTTTTAAAATCATTATTTTTTGGAATTACGTAATTTAGTTATTCATTTATTGTTTTTTATAAATTGTTGAAAATATTATTGATACTATAATTAAAATAATTTAAATAAACATACACTAATCAATTGTCACATTTTCAGGCTATTATTGTAGAAAATCATGGTATGATACTAAATTTATTGGTAATTTAGCATTAGTCTTTACAGACATTATTGAATCAAAATCTATCTCAAGGTTAAAAAACTGTGAATCTAAACTATTTTATTATCAATTTAATAACCAAAATATCGATTTCCGTTCATTCCACATTGGAACAAAGTGGAATGGTCAAGAAGCATCATCGAAAGTTGAAGAAACAGTTAAAAATATTAAAGAAGAAAAAGAAAATCAAAAATTGAAAACTATTTCTACAACTATTATTTTCAAAGATCAAGAAAAAGGACTAGAAAAAAAACCAACTCGTTGGCAAAAAATTAAAATAGAACTCTTACATTATTATCATGGTTTTAGGCTATTAGGATTGGATATGAAAGTATCAGCCAAACTTATTTGGAGAATTCTTAAAGGACATGAATTAAGTAGAAGAGAACATAGATTGGTATATATTTTGTTTTTCATAAATAATGATATTTTTTTTTATATTAAGATATTTATGTTTCTAGTTAATTAAAACTACAGGTGACATGTTTAGGCTTATCCCATTTTCTGTTTTTATAATTGTTCCTTTTATGGAATTTTTACTTCCAATAGTCATCAAAATTTTTCCTGGACTATTGCCATCAACTTTTCAAACTGCAACTGAAAAAGAGGATAAATTAAAGCAGGCTTTAAAAGTATAAAAATTATTCATTCTTTTATATTTTTATATATATTTTTATACTAAAACATAATATTTAAGGTTAAAATAGAAATGGCCAAATTTTTACAAAAGACTTTAGATGAAATGGCTGTGCAATCATCGGATCATCGTTCTGAAAAAGCCAAAGAATTTGCTGACTTTTTTTATAAAGTTAGAACAACAGGAACAGTTGCTACAAATGAAGAAATAATGAAATTTAGTAAACTATTTGAAGATGAAATTACATTAGATTCATTGTCTCGGCAACAATTAATTGCACTGTGTAGAGTTTTAGATGTTCAAACACTTGGTACAACAAATTTTTTGAGATTTTTATTAAGAATGAAATTGAGAAGCCTTGCTGCAGATGACAAAGTAAGTCATTGTATAATTTAATAATTTCAATTATTATTTATACTAATTTTAATTCTTTATACAAATTTTAGATTAAGCTTAATATTTAGTAGTAGTAAAAAATTAATATGAATGAGTAATGTACTATGAACTATTAAAAATTATATAGAATATTATTTTAGATTCATTAATCAAACTTCATATAGATTTATAGGAAAGTTTATCTTTTATAGTCTTTCATTTTTTTTGCCTTATCTTTTATTTTCAACAGTTTTTGGCATCTAATTTCATAATAACTAATTAGAATAATTGAATATAAGTAAGAAACTCATAATAATCATTTATCATAAATTCAATAATTGTTTGAATGTTACATTTACTAATTGGACACTTAATCAGAAATATAAGAAATTTTATCAAAAAATACTTAGGACTTAAGTATAGTCAACATACGTAATAACTATACAAAAACATCATGTACTATTTCTGTATGCTAATAAAACAATTTTTGTGGATTAATTTGCTCAAATCAGTATATGCAAATGATATGAAAAAATTAGGCATTTGACATGGTCAAAATATGAAGAAGCAATTTCAATACAAATGGAAGCTGTTAAAAATGTTTTCAAGTAGCTGTTTCTTCTAATGTTTGTGAAGCATAAATAGTAATTTTAAACCATCTCCGATATAATTAGTTAACTTAGCACACTGAATAAGTAAATAAGTGATTTAGGTGTGAAATTACACTTCTATTTTTTTTAGAAACAACTAGCACAGCATTAATTTTGGTGTCCAAAAAGTTGACGAATATTTGATCATAGTTAACATTTTAGATTACAACATAATGGCAATATTGTTGAAGTCACTGAATCACTTCTATTTATAAATTTACATTGGCAAAAATAATCGATATTTGTTGGTAATTTATTGGGTAGTTAGATTTAATCATTATTTAATGATTATTAAAGTTAATAGAAATGAACTGATAAACACAAAGATAAAACAAATCAATAGAGTATAACATTCTAATTGGCCTTAATAGCAGATTAGAACCAATTTTTGTAATACATTTCCCGAACTACACCATGATTGTTCATTGAATTTATCAATAAAAAATAATTGATGCTGAAAGCAACACAGATAAACAATCATATTTTGTATACATTGTATACTATATATTGTAGTTATTATATATATCTTTTTTCACTTCACTTTAAAATTAATAAAATATTTATACTTATGTATAAATATATGAAAAATAAATTTTTGTAATTTGTAGAGTACCTTATTCTAAACTATTATTTTGAATTGAATATATGAAATTCATGTATTTAATAAATTAATTATAATTTTTACAGTTGATAGAAAAGGAAGGAGTTAATACTTTAACGAGAGCAGAATTGCAGCAAGCATGCAGAGCTCGTGGTATGAGAGCATATGGAATGCCAGAACAAAGATTAAGAGATCAATTATTTCAATGGCTTGATTTAAGCTTGACTAAGAAAGTGCCTCCTTCATTATTACTTCTTTCTAGAGCATTGATGGTGCCAGAAACAATTCCTATGTCTGATAAGTTAAAAGCAACTATTTCTGCTCTTCCTGATTCGGTTGTGACATGCACTAAAGGAGCAATTGGTGAAAAAGAGGGAAAATTAGACCACAAAACTAATATCGAAATTATAAAAATAGAAGAAAAAAAGATCGAAGAAGAGAGACAAGAAGAGAAAGAAATCAAGCAAAAAGAAAAGAAAGAAAATGGTATAAAACCACAGACTATTGAAGTTGGACTATTGTTGAATGATGATAAAATTACAACGAAAGACGTTAAAGTTTTAGAACAAGCTCTAGATTCAATTGGAAAGGTAACTAATAAAATCTATTTTAAAATTAACATTTGTTTTAATACATTATATGATTAATTATTTATTCTAGGATAAAAAAAAAATGTCTGTAGAAAAGGAAGAATTAAAAGAATTAAAAGAAGAAATGGCTGAATATCAAGAAGATATACAGGAATTGAATCAATTAAAGATAGAAGCGAAAGGTTTAACAAATATAGACACTATAAAAGTATCAAAGGGTGCAAAAAGACTTTTTACTAAAGTAAATAAAATGATAAGTAAAATGGATGCTGTTCTATTGGAATTAGAACAATCTGAAAAAAGAATTAAAGAAGAAATAAATGCGCTTCCTAGTGAAAAAAAATCCGATTTGGAAGTCACTGCTGAATTAGTTAGGATTGATGAACTAATTGCAGCCATTAAACAAATTCAAAATGTTCCAGATAACCATCGGTTAACTCGAATCACTGAAATTCTTGGTAAAATTGATGATGATAGAGATGGTGCAATAAAAATTGAAGATGTACTTAAGGTAAGTATTAATACTTACTTCAAATTTTTTATAATTGTCATACTTTTATCATCATATTTTTAATTTTAATGTATTAATTACCAACCAAAATATTTAAAGTATTAATGCAGTAGCTTTTCATAAACTAAAAAGTACTTTTCATCAAAAAATCAATTATAAAGAAAATTAAAATAAATTGCTATATTTACTTTAATTTCTATTATTACAGATTTATTTTATTTATTTATCCAATTTGGTTAATTCACTGTTATAAAAATATATTTCTTTGGAGTTTAAATTGAAGGTTCAAAATGAAGGATATGTGTTAATTATAATTTTTTAATTATTTATAAATAATTAACTATATAATTTCATTGTTTTTTTATTATTTTCAAACTTTCTTAATATTATATATTAAATATTTTTATCAACAAATAAATAATTCGTTTTAAAATATTTCCTTTATATGTAGTTAAAATAGGCTAATATTTTTATTTCAATTCATAATTTATTGTTTTTCTTTCCAATCATTTCAAATGATTACTACTTTTACTACTTTCCATATTTTAAAAGATAATTTTAAAACATTAAAATATTTTTTTATCATTATTATTAATTGATAACATGGATATGATTTAAAATTTTTTTTGTATAAATTAAGTACTAAATATGCAATGTTTTTAAGAATATTGTAACATTGGACCATAATTAATATTTATTAAAACTCAAAATGTATATAAATATATAAATAACCTGTCGGTAAAATAAAGTAAATTTTTAAATATTATTTTAAATATAAATTTAAAAATCTCCTTAAACCTTAAATAAAACAATAAAATGTATTATAATATATTAATATTCTATATAAATATAAAGTATACTTAAAGCATTGAATAGATATTTTATTAATCTGAAATTTCAGTTACATCAATAAGAATGAAATATCTATATAGATGAAAATATATGACCATGATTTTATCATTGTAGAAATAAGAACTAGTGATAATTAAAATTTAGGACTATTATAAAAATAAATATATATTAAATACTTATTCTACAATTATACGATATAATAAATTTATAATTAAAATTAATAAAATGAATTTTGTAAATTAGAATTACAATGAATAATTTCGATAAAAATAGGTGTATGTATCTCGATGCTTGATAGTGATTCAAAGACAAAGACAGGAAGGATACTCAATTAAAATTTGTTGGTGCTAAAATTTTATTAAAATAAAAAGTATACGAGACTTACAGCAGATTTTCAATACATAAGAGCAGTGACGATTTATTAATACTATTATTAACTACCAAAAAAGTAGAATTTTATTAATTTAGTATAATTAATTTGAAAAATAATATTTCCAAAATATCCAATTGTAATCGAAGATATTTAAAAGTTTTGATAAATTCATTTAAAAATCATGTTATTCAGATTTGATTAATTATTAAAACGTAATAAAAAATCGAATTGTCAATATGTTCATAATTTTATAAAGACATGTGTAACTTGTCAATTTTTAATGAATTTTTATGATTTTATTTATTTATTTCGTGTCCGTAAAGAATAGTTATAATTAAAAATAAAAATAAGTGAAATTAAAAAATCAATATTGAAATATTAGTGATGTTAAATAATTTTTCATATTGAAATATATATTATTAATACTATGTATATGTACATATAGTAACACATAATTTAATTACCAAATGTTATTTATTTATTTTTATTAACAAACTTTTTAATTATCTTCTGTCTATATTATTTTTTTTTTAAGGTCTAAATTTTTATACACTATGAACCATTATTATTTGGACCTTGTTTTTTGAAGAAGATTTCTGTTTATATATATTTTTCTAATTATTATTTTATATTATCAAAACACCGAACGTTTATATATACCTCAAATTTTTAGGTCATAGAGTTAATTGGAAAAGAAGACATTAAATTAAGTAAAAATCAACTGAACGAATTGATTGAATTAATGGAAAAAGAAGAAGTACTTGAAGTAGAAGGTCAAATACAAAAGGCTTTAAAAAAAGAAAGTGAAAAATTAAAAAATGATAAACAAGAAGAGATATTTGGTAGAGATAAAAGTAGTTCAAACTCTACAGTTCCATTTACATCTATTGAAATTAGAACACAAGCAAATAACATTGATGTAAATACTAATACGAATACAAATAAAAATTTTGTTCAATCATCTACAATAGACAAAAAAAAATCCGATAATTCGACGATTTTAAAAAATTCAAAATCTATTAATAAAACGTCGATAGGATCCAATGTTCCATCAACACCAAAAAAGGCTAAAGATTCCAAACAGTTGTGATAAAAATATTTCTTTTTTTTAATTTGTAGCATGGTTTGTGCATCCATGATTCATATAAGAACAATGAAAGTATTTAACATTTGGGTTTTCTGTTTATTGAAAAGTGAATAATTAAAAAATTATATTTAATTATCTAAATTAATTAAGATAAATATTACAAAATAAATATTTTAAATTAAAGAAAAAACAATATTGCATAACTAAAATACTATGAATTTGGTTGAAATTACGTATAGTATATACCTTATAGGGGTACATGTTTTGTATTGTATTACAAAGTTGTAAATTAAGGTTGAAAAAATATTTTTTATTTTATTTTGATTAGATAATTAATTATCCATATCAGTACGTGAAAAAATGATTATTTAATAAAGAAATAAGGATGCGTTGTGCTGGACACATAGCTCATTTATTTTATAAATACACATATTTATACAAGCAAATGTGCATGCAAATCAATATTAAACCATTTTCTTTACAAGATTCAAGAAATCGCAATATTCTATACAGATAGATGGAATAATTAGACAGTTGAAATAGAACGTTGAATCCTATATATATATATGTATATAAATACGTTTCCTGGTACGGCGCGTATTGTACATGAATTCATCTAATTTTACTTTCATGTTTTATTAATCGTAAGATGATTGTAATAAAAAATTGATATTAAAGAAATCGTACTGAAAGAATATGACTTGCATGTGAATTAGCAAATACCGTAAATGCTATTGTAATTACTTTTATTAATTTCAATCTAATGTATACATATTTCAGATAAAATATTTGTTAATTAATTAGTATTTTGTAAAATAGTAATTTTGAATATACATTATTTTATTTTTTGAAATTACGCATATTCAATTTTATGTTATAACATTGTCAATTAATAAACTCAAGATATAAATTTATTTTTACTATTTTGTGGTATATATATATATATATATATATATATGCATACCTTAATTAACAGTCAAACAGAACTGCATTTTATTCTTGAATAGTAATTAGAAAATTACATTATAAATTTATATCATATTTCACATAATTATATATTTAGTCATTAATTTATTTTTAAAATAGAACAAGTTTAATAAACACTTCTTAAATGGAAAATTTGTTATTGTTTATTATTTAGTTATATCTAAACTTCTTTAATCTGACCGTAATTTTGGAACCTCTATACTAACAGTAATTGTCAACTCCATTTAAATCTACGTACGTCTTATATTAATCATATTCAATTTATATTTATAAATTATAAAGTAGTCCTTTATGTATTATAAAATAAAGTTAATTTACAATCAATAAGTATTTATTTTACTTCTAATGTATTAAAGAAAAAAGATTGTATTTTCTTGTATTGTTAAAATAAAAACTTGAATCTAATATATTTAAAATATTGAAGAATATTTAAAACGCAACAACATATTTCTGTAATTTAATGATTTAATTTTCTATAAATAAATGTGTTTAAAAAGATTGCTATTTTTAATTTCAGGTATTATAAATATTTTTTACTTATACTAAAAAGTAAATAATTTATATTATAGTATGATATCTATATAAATATGCGTATATATATTTTTTATTTTCTAAAATTATATAATACATCCTGACATGGCAATGTATACTTAAATTTAAATAAAATTTCAATTGTTAGAACTTCATTTATAAACCATGTTATATTATTTATATATTTTCTTATTTTTACATATAACAGATTTAGTGGATTTAGACGATATGTTTATTTGAAGAAACGTATTTTAAATGATAATAAAGTAAAAAGTATAGTAGTTACTAAACAAGATGTTAATTGTGATAGAAGTACCATAGTGTCCATTTTATAAAAACGATGGCATTCATCTGATAGTGATTATTGGCAATATGGTCATTCACAAAATGTTTTACTAGCCATTGGAAATATGACATGCAGTTAGCAATTGATGTTTTGTTTTGCACTGCATCTTTATTATGTCGTGATTAATTAACACCCCAGTTCACACAATTTCTAACTTTGAAATTCCGGTAAGAAACGCAATTGAATAAATTGGGATTTATGTGTTCAAAATTTAACTACAGAAGCATTTTAGTCCTTCAAATAAATAAAGATACTTATGTACATAAAGAATACAATAATTTAAAAAGAATTTAAAATACAAATTTTTAATACTTTCGACAAAATATCTTTAATTAATTTTTAAAAAAGTAACACTTGTACATTTGATTTATAGTTTATTATTTAAATGGTTAAAGAAAAGGAACACCCATGCATAATTTTAAAGAGATTTATAATCATATTGAAACTACCTATGAACACTTTCAAACATGTATGTTACGAATAACAGAAAAAAATATGGTTTAGTTCAAATTTATTACCATAAAATGTAAAAGTAAAATATATTTGAGAATCGATGTTTAATTTTTAGAATTGTTTTTATCATTATTTTAATCAATATATAAATTTTGGTCTCGTAAATGTAGTTTAGTGATATACTTCATTTTGTATCTTAAATGAAATTAGTATTAAATATGACAAAATGTTTGAGTGGAATATTTAGAATTCATGATAAAATTTATCATGATATTATAGAACCACTGAAAAATGCTAAATAAATTACTAAAGTTTTAAACCCACCATTATAAATATAAATGAATAATTCTTTCTGCATTCGCTTTCAAATTTTATATGAAAGTTTTGGTGCTACTTAATTATTTAAAATGTGTTTTAATAATTTCAGGTTATTCTTTATTTTTATAATTTAATTTTTTCTATTTACATAAATATATCAATATTTTTAATCCTTATATTTATTAATGTTGCTTTACCACAGCCTGTACACATTTAGCCATTATTACTGAAGCTCTAGATATAGCATCAGTCATAAAATACTGATCCAAAGTTTTCTGTTTTATATCAATGGGATTATCGGAGAATGTGCCGTGAATTGTCTATAAAAATAACTTTAATCAGAATACTATCTTAGAATATACAATAAGATATAAACGATATATTTTAAAAATACTTCTGATATTTCAAAAAGTTGAGAGAAATAATTTGTTGGTTCAATATCTCCATATTTTAATAAATGCGGTGCTATTTCTGCAATTCTATTTCTTACTTCATTCAAATTATCATACGGTAATGAAATACCAGCAATCTAAATAATAAAAAAATTATATTAAATAATCAAAAATAGTTCCCAATTTTTATTTTAGTTTACCTCAGAAAGTGCTCTTATAATTTTCCAGTCTGGTCTAGCCATTCCAGGTGGAGTAATAGCTGCATTTGTTTGTTGAGATCTACCTTCCATGTTAACAAAACTTCCACATTTTTCCGTATAAGCTGCACCAGGTAAGATTACATCAGCTATTGAAGCTCCATAGTCTCCATGACTTCCTATATATTTAAAATAATGTTATACTAATATGTTCATAATTTGTAAATACGTATAAACAAATAAGTTACCCATATAAACAATAAATGTTTTACTGAAATCTTCTTTTTTAATGCAAGGATCATCAGCGCCAAGAAGAAAAAGAATTTTAGGTTTATTTTTTTTTAAATCATCCAATGAAGAAGAATAACCAAGATCTAAAGCCGTAACTTGAGATGCATTCGTATGAAGAATATTCATAATTTTCCAATATTTTGGTACCTATAAAAAACAATTATGATTCAATATATATGGATGTACATAATTATAAATTTTGCCAACCTTTGTTGAATTATTTATTGCTTTACATAAAGATTGAACTTCAGCAAGAATTTTGGCACCATCTGGTCGGGATAGCTGCTCTGATCCAAGTATAACCATAGGTTTTTTTGCATTATTTAATATTGCTCTGAATGAATTTGTACCTAATTTTAATTGTGATATTAATTCAACTGATTGGCCCAAATACTGAAAAATCACAAATATATCAAATTATTTTAATAGTTAGAAACAAAATAACTTAAATACTAATTATCTACTAATTAAACTAATTAACACTAAATACGTAATATTGTTAATAATTTATTTAATATTTAATTTTTACATTATAGTATACAATTATTAAAATAAAAATAAATATTAACACGAGGAAACGGTAATAAAATATAAAATTAATAAGAATGTCTTTTTATCGTCAACTGTGATTAAAATGTTGAATCTATTAATGAAAATTTATTTTTATTTTCGAGAATTCAGACCAATTTGTTTATTATTAAAAAAGACTTAATTTTGTATAATATACAGTCATATTCAATATAAGTATATTATATTAAATATTAATAAAATTAAATAGTCAGCAATTATATATTAATCATAGAGTAGTTAGTTACAAGTTCAGAAGTATCAGAATGATAGATCAGAAAATCAGAAGTAGAATATTATTTATATAATTTATAAATAATTGAAATAATTAACTTTAATCTGCCACTTAAATTTAATATGACTGACACATCAAAATTTTAAAATAACTTGAGAGCAAAGCCTTAATGCAATTAATTTATATAGAAAAAAATAAAAAACACAATAAAAACAATAAGATAAAAATAATATGAAAAATATAGAATTGTTAAAATAAAATAAATAAACTGTAAACAAAATAATATAAAAGTTTGTCCTATATGTCCCTACAGAGCAAATTAGACATATGCATAAGAGTTTTTGTAACTAGTTTATAATCTATCAAGTATTAAAAGTTTTATAAGTTGCAAATAAATAATCCAATGTAGAACATAAATTAGGAATTTCTTGATATTGCTTATTGTTCAGGGTTGGAGCACTTAAGATGAAATTTAATTTCCCTAAATTGGTAATCGTTATAACTCGCAAGATCGTAAATATTGACTCCGAAATTTCTCGATAATTTTAAAGGCTTTGCTTGCGAACGTCCTGTAATGTTGATGTAGTTTCCGCGTAGCAACATCGTTTGACTTCTACAAAATTTGTAGAGCCTTGTTTTCCTACTATTCTCGAACTTTCTAGAACTAAGATTCTGACATCATGCTAGAATTTCGGCATAGTAACACCCAGGCATTGGTGCCAGGTTAACAAAAACTCGCTCAAATATTTAAAGGAAGCACGCATAGAAGCGCGTGCATTTTGTTGAGTCAGTTTAGAGGAGTCGCTCTCTGGACGAGACGTTGCGCCTTATATATACTTCATTATAATCGGTGCTGTACTCAGAATTGAAGAAACAATGCCCACTGCTTCTCTACAAGTGCGACAATACTACAAAAAGCCCGCTGAAGTATTAAATCAATATATTATCATTAAGAGGAGACTAGTACTAAAAGCACCATACATGACTCTGCACAAGGAGTGTCAAGGATTTACGCCCTTGCACTTCTTAGTATAGCAATTCCACCAAGTGCACCACAAGAGGATCTGGAGATTACATCCTCCACCACTCGACTTGCAGTGCATGCTAATTCCACGCAAAATACCAACAAGGAGCGGTACGGTCTCAACGATTCTCACTACCAACGTAGAATCATATTTATATGTTTATAATTTAAAACTTGATAAATACCACGAAAACCAGTTGTGTTGATTACTGAATTAAAACATTAACCTCTCACTTACTCACACATTGACACCAATAAAATGGTGGGTATGGTCTAATCACATCATTTTGGTCTCTCGACCTGCGGATGACTGGAATTCCGAACATTATTGTCTGGGATCACGCTTAAAATCTTCCGATGATGTTGCTGGCAAATGGAGGAAGAAAATGCAATAATTCAATTCTATAGAAAGTATATCTTGGTTTTATTAAGTACAATAAAATAATATTATTATTTTATTTTTATTATTATATTACCATTAACTATTAGTTAATGGTTATAGATTTGCATGAATGGTGAGTATAAGTGACTTAAATGTATGAATTTTCTTTAGTAATTTTGCGTGCTGATGAGATCGCAATTTCTTTTTTAGAAGAAATTTAACTATATGCAAACAAATATTTAATTATGAATTTGTAAAATATAGGCACATAGTTAGAAATGAACAATTTCTTCTTATGTATTTTAAAATATCCGAAAAAATACATCCCTGAATACTTTAATCTTAAATATAACTATTATAAGCTATCAAGGGTATTACCGAACAGACTGTGATCAACCACCTAAAAATTATCCTTTTTCTAAAATCTTATACAACTCAAATTTACAGTTAGAAAGCCTTATCTTTATATCTTATAAATATGTGGAACCATAATACAAAAGAAAACTTAAGCTACGTATAAAAATCACGTAAATTGATATCCTAAAAATTAACCTAATAAATCCATATATTAAAAGTGTTTATTAAAATAATTTTATACGAATATCAATTTAAGTGCAATAAAAAAATGAATAATTTTACCTTATATTCATACGTTAGATTAACTGGAGGACCAATAAAACCAATCTTTTGTTCATGATGTAAGTATCCTTTTCTAATGCGTATATTAACTATAGGTGCTTCATATCTGGGGTTAGTACCAATTAGTAATACAACATCTGCTTCGTCAATGCTGGAAATTTTATTATTCAAAAGATAATTACTTCTCAAATCAACTCCAGCACCTTTTTGTGGGAAAGGTTGCTCTGTTGTTAAAAGTTCACTGTCAAACTTATTCAATAAATCTTTCATCATAACTAAACTTTCTGCATCAGCTTGCTTACCAGCAATAGCTGCACATTTATTAGTTGAGAGATCTTGTAAAATATTTGCAACTATATAAAAAAATTATCTAATGAAAAATACAATAATAAATATGGTTTTAATTATTATTAAATACAATTTTTTTAATTAAAAACATTTGAAATATGGTGCAGGTTAATTAAAAATGTACTATTGATTTTAAATAAGCAATAATAATTGTCACAGAACAAAGAAAAAACCTCAATATGAAATATTGGATTGAATACTTGAATATAAGGTTTATAAATAATTGCTTTTCTAAATAGGCTACACGGAAAAAATATTATAATTAGTTGCAACGTAAAATTAGGGATTAATTTAAAAGATGCAACAAATTTAGTAATTATTTTAACAAATTCATTTGTTACATTCCTCACTATTTCTACATTCTTTTGTTAATATATGAAAAATTCACTTTTAATAAATTTGTCATTTATATTTAATCAAATTATTATTATTTGAACTTCAATATAGCTGAAAATTAAAAAATAATATTCCAAGCTCTTATATTGGAAAACTTGACGTAAAAAATAATTTAAATCAATGTATGTTGTGATACACGTATATTAATATTCTGACTGTTTATAGAAGATATAAAAGTAAATTGATATTGAAATTATACTGCAATGAATGTTCAGCATAAGTTGTTAAAAATACTTTATATCCGAAACTGTTGAATACATACAACAGAAAATAAGGAAAACACACCAAGATCAAATGCCAGAAAGAATACTTTTTAGCTATAGATGAGCCTTTAATAAATTAATGAAAATAAACGTAACTTAAGAAATACATATCAACCATTATCTAAATTATGTTTTACTTCAATATCCTTGATTTTGACTTGATTGTTTCAATAAAGATACACAGTAGGAATTTTAATATTTAAATTAATACAAAAGAATTCAAAAAATTCAGAACTCAATCACGAATATTCTTTTAAAATAGTTATTACTGAAAAAATGTTTATAGGTTTTTCTCAAAAACTTTATTACGAATCAGAAAAACAATGCATGTGCAACACCAGACAAATAACGACTGTCGTAAGGCAAATAAAAGAATCATATATATCAGAAATGCGTTGAAGAAATCTATGAACTTGAAATATAAAATATTTTAGTATACCGATGATTTCAAATTGGAAATGAGTTTCGAGTTTGGTGTAAATGTAGTTTTCAAAACATGAAAATGTTACATTCATTCAACACGAATTCAAGATATCAATAAAGACTTATAAAGTGCATTTATATACAATTCTAATGCATTATATTAAAATTTATTATAAGCATTATACATTTTTTCAAATATATCATATAGTTGAAATATTTCAGGCAAAGATTTTTAATATTACAAATTACTAAAGAATGGTTTCCATTACATACCAATAACTTCAATCGAAATAACATAAATGTGATAAATAATAGTATAAAATTTTAGTTTATAAATCAAGAAATTAAATTTTTTTCAGATTTTATATAGATTCCTTGAAAACAATATTTTTTAATATGCGGTTTTTCAAAAATATTTTGTTATATTATATAAACATGCGATGTAACCAAGATTCTTTCAAGATTCAAAATATAAATTACAAGAATATTTGAATACTAAAAATCAATATACATAAATGGTAGATATCGGTGTCAGTTTGAAAAATGGATATATTTAAACAATTTCATTTCGTCAATCATCAATAGTTTTTGATGGGTTATTAGTAAAATTAATTTTACACTGCTTTTTAACCAACAATGATCAATAAATTTTAGAGAAATAACAATGAATACCTACCCTCTATGTTAAATATTATTTCATTTGACTAAAGCATATAGAATATATACGATTTTAAGCAAACAAAAATTCGTTTCTATAGTATTGAAAAATACGATAGTAATTTTTTAATTACAATATATTTAAAATTTCTTAAGCTGATATTCATAAATTTCTTTAGTAATGATTACATATATATATCTTTCCTATGATACTACAAGCATTTCATTACATTATTACATTTTCGGATGTTTATGCTTCATATTTGTATATATATAATAGGTTGAGTTGATTGATTATTAGGTTTTAACGAAAAATATATAGATTTACCAGATACTAGGGCAGATTTCCAATCAACATTTTGCAGTTCGCCATTTAATTTTATCATAGGGGTTATAATTCTTTGTCTTTTCAGCCCGTCGTACGAGAAACGGGCTTTATCTGAAATCCATTCTTCATTTATTTCCTATTTGTAAAAATATTTTTAGCTTTCGTTAAAACAGGATAAATTAAATTTTTTAATTTATTCATACCTCATTAACCCTTGGAAGAATTCTCAATACTTCACCTGTTCTATGTGATATAACAATATTACTACCAACGGCATCATGAACATCAATGCTGTCCGTCCGATAATTTTCCCATGGACGAGCAACAAAGGCATATGGTTTACTTGTTAGGGCTCCAACAGGACACAAATCAATTATATTTCCAGAAACTTCTGACATAAATAATTTTTTCACGTACATTCCTACCTACATTTAGAAGAACATTATATTTATAAATTAAATAAAAATTATTTTGTATTAAATTTAATAATTTATTAAATTGTTTTATATTAAATTTAATAAATGATTGGATTATTTAATATTAAATTTTATGTTTATACATTATATGTTTATAGCATATATTAAAAAGAGAAAAATATTTGGACATAAAAAAAACAAAACTGACAATTAATATTAAATAACGTTTAATGAAAGTATATACATATTAAACTAAATTTCTAAAATAACGAATTTTATTCTCTCAGTATTTCAATTCTAAGTATTTACAGTTCAATTTCAATAAGACTTAATGTTTCTTTATTGACAGTTATAGAGCCATAGTTCTTTAGAACAAAAAGAAATTATAATTGGATCTAGTTAAATAGGTTTAAAATTTTTATTTTTTATAAATTATTTATTTGATGAAAAAATATTATTAAATCTATGATTCCCATAATTGTTTTACATATATTTAATTTTTTTAAATTACTATTCATTATATTCACCAATAGTCTATAAAGGTTTATTCACAATTTATCTATTCGTTGTGAGAAGAATAAAATTAATTTTTTATTCTTCTTTAACCTTAATAATGGTTATATCATTACAAAATATATGTAAAATTAATAAAAGCTTCGTTCATTCTTTATAAGTTTGTCATATTTACATATTTGAAAAATCAGTTTAATTAATTTACGATATAAATAATAGAATATATATTAATATAACATATATATATATTCGTTTCATAGATATTACAAAGTCGCAGAATATAATGAAAAAATATAATGTAACATTTAATAGAAAATATAAAAATAAATAAATAAATATTTTATTTACCGTAAATTAAATCTACAAATTTGAATACAAAATTCAAAATCCTTTAATATTATATTATTAACCTCTTTTTAATATATTTTTCACAGTATGTGATATAACGATATTTTCTAAATAAATTACCTAAAAACATATAATATAATTTACAAAGTAAAATATACAAAACTAGTCATTTTTAATTATATTATACCAAAAGTAAATTTAATAAACTAGCCATTGAATAATTTATATTTTATTACTTTAATATGTTTATAAAGTAAATAAATATTCTTTTTTATCCGAAAATTTCTACATTCTAATATGTATGTTGCAACAATTTTATTTTTTATTTAGTAATTTCGCAAATTCATTAGTTTAAAATCGAAGAATAATTTTCATAATATTTATATTGTATAATTTTAAAATGCTAGATTCGAATTATAACAAACTACTTATTTTATATTTTAATTATCCAATATACTACTCCTGACCCTATCTCCTTCATATCAAGGAAATGCGAGACTACAACAATCATCACAGGTTCAATGTCAAGGCTACTATATCGCTGTGAGTAAAACAAATCTAAGGCATAAATCATTGCTAATCCATACAAGATTAGCAAAGGCAATCTAAATTCGTTGTTAATCCCTACAAGATTAGTATAGGTTATTAGTAAATTAAAAACCATATTCCCTAATAATGATTATACATAGTCAGTTGCTGATCTTTACAAAATCATCATCACCATCATAAAGGAACATCTCATGTAGATAAACTATTCAGCACAAGAGCAGTTCCAAGTAACTGCTTCGTAATTGAATATAGGATACACCATTCCATCGCATAAATCCAACACATCAATAATGTAATTGTAAATAAACCGTTATAAACCATATTTAACTATTTCTAAATCTAATTCTAAGCCCTTCCACTTAACTCCTTCGCAAGCAGCCGCTAGGGCGGCCGGTAAATTATTATAAATCTATCGAAATATTGGCAGTTCGAGCCAGGAAATCAAACAGTTTCGAACACGTTTATTGAATAGTGATCATAATTATTTTAAGACTCAAATTTAAGTTCTTTTAAAGAATTCATCATATTTAAAACTGAAATGCATTCTGCGCGTTTATCTAAATTTTTATTAAAAGATCTTTATAAGACGTATAATTTTTCTTTTAATTATTGTATAAATATATCTAAGGCGAAAGCATGCAATATTCAAGCAGATTTATAAATTATATATATTAAACATTTATTTCAGCTACATTTCAGCTTTAATAGCTATAGGTACTTTCAAACCAATGTTCATGTTTTATGACTTTATCTGTTTAATAATTACAATGAAAGGTATTCTGAACGGTATTCATTTTTGCATATATCCATAATTACTTTTTCTTCTTATTGTAAATAAAAGATAACTTGTTAGTTTTTTAATATTATCGGTCAACTACGTTTATTAACCTAGATTTTTTTCTCTTGTATTTCAAAAGTGTAAATTTCTCTTTTTTCTTCGTGTCAGAAGTACTTATGTTTTAGAATACTCTTTTATCAGATTTATCTTCAATGCATTAAACTGTTTTTAAACGCACATTTCTAATACAATTGATGCTTTACGATTATATGGGATTATTCAAATAAGTAATTTTTGTTAAATAATTTTAAATTATGTATGATAGTGTCTGTCAGTTGTAAAGATTTTTGCGGCAAAATTAATTAAATAATAAATTATTAAAGTACATATTTTTATAGAAAAAAAATTATACCTGCATTTCATTACCGCGGCCAGTAGTACCAAAATCATCAATGCCAGCTATTTCAGATGCAAAACGAATACATCTAGTACAATGTATACATCTAGTCATTGCAGTTTTAATAAGAGGTCCAATATCTTTATCTTCTACAGCTCTTTTTCCGCTGTAATCAATATCTACGAATCGACTTCTATCATTACCAAATGCCATACTTTGATCTTGCAAATCACATTCTCCCCCTTGATCACAAATCGGGCAATCTAAAGGATGATTTACTAATAAAAATTCCATCACCCCTTCTCTAGCTTTTTGAGTTAAGTTAGAATTAGTTTTAACTCTCCAACCTTTCATAACTGGCATAGCACAAGCTGCAACGGGCTAAAATATCAAAGTTATTTCATTCTATTTTTTAATACTTTGAAATTATTTTATAATAAATTACCTTGACTTGTTTTTCAATTTCCACAAGACACATTCTACAATTACCAGCCACTGCAAGTCTTTCATGATAACAAAATCGGGGTATTTCAATGCCAGCTAGAGATGCAGCCTGATAACATATAATTACACTATAGCAATATCAATAAAATTAATGTATTTAATTTATATATAACTGATAAGTAAATGTATATGATTACATGAAATCTATTTAATAAGATTTCGGATATTAATGAAATTCAATTAATTTTTTTTTCTTAAATAAATTTAAAACAAATTAAAAATGTAAGTTATTCACTATAATACATTTGTTCCAAATTCCGAGAACCCTTCTCAAATCATTAAACATTTGAAAAAAACCAAGTCATTAGGCTTCTGAAAATCTAGGTCACTAGACATCTGGAAATAGTCGTTACATCCAAAAATTTAGATCTAATGGTACACAATCGCATATATTGTTGTCAAATAGCCATAATGTCGTTTGAATAGTTAAGCCGACGCTTCAATTAGGGCTCCCTTTTGGTGAGAACACAAAGAGATAACTACTTTCCCTGATTAAAGACGCTGAAGCCAGAGGCGCTCAAAATACAGACACCGAAGCCATAAGCACTCAGATTGGAAACGCCAACGAAGTAGGCGTTCCTTAATTGGACGCCGTGGTCAGCGGAATGTATTTAAGGGAGACGACCACAAGTGAAGGTGCTCTATCTTACAAGAGCCACCGAGGAGAGCCGATGCTCTCTCTTACAGGAGACGCCGCAGAAGACGGTCTGTCTTAACAGAAGCCATGGAAAGGGCGGTCTTTTGCAAGAGACGCCGCGAAGGACGAAGGGACACTCTCCAGTGGGTCGACAAGGAAGAAGGAAACACTCTCAGAAACAGTCGCAGGCCTTTCCAATACTAGTACGCCTAGCACGAAGCTGCCGCCGATCTTGCTCACTTGTCCACGCCACAAGACAGCTTGGGGATCACAATCAAGTTGCCACCACATGGCACTACACGAAGAAGTGCCAAGAGATTTACGACCTCCTACCTGTACCTACCTACCGATGTAGTTGTGGGAACCGTAGCTGTTCAGGCGTATGTGATGAGCCTTTGCTTGAGTAGCCGTTGCTACTAAACTTGCTCGTGATGAATCGCCGCTGTTGTAGCCGTCGCTTACTAAAGGAACGTGTAGACGCCGCTGCTTTAGCCGTTGCTTGTGTATCTATGTTTAGATCCGTTGATATGTGTTGTAGTTATACTTTCGTTATTTTCACTCTTAATTTACACTTGGCACTAGTGCTTCTTGCTGCTTTAACAGATTCTGATGGTTGTGACGTAACTATTAGTTTATTTGATTGCTTGTTAAATGATGATTAAATACTTGTATAGCTGCAGTGAGTGATAAGTGTAGGCTGAATGCTTGAAGATAGAAATAGCGAGCCGGTCGTGGTGACTGCGTAAATGTTACTAGTACAGTGCGCAGCGCGTCAAGCGATGCTCTTAAATATTCACGTAGTAGCTTGCGGCGCCGGCAGCGGGCGCCGGTGCCTGTTGCTATGCCGAAATTTGTCGTGACGTCAGTAGGATACAGCCTTGGAAGGTTCATAGGCATTGCTATACGGAAACATAATCGTATATTCGAGTTTACGGCGTAGGAAATTTCCCGAATTGGCTGAATCGTGTTTATAAAAACAAGTGTTCGGGAGCTTGTACCTTTCCTAATTTTGAATTCTGCTTCAACTGTTCCAATTCCGAACAATTATGTTTACTTTTTATGTATTTTTATGTTCAATGGTGATCTTTAAATGACATGTTAACTAATCATCAAAATACTAATTTTGTAGTTGAAGAAAAGTCTTATTTTATGAAAAATAATTATAATAAATGGCTAATTAACAAAATTTTTAGTATTATGAGTTTTATAAATAATTTAATAATTGAGCCAAGATGACTTTCTTGATTGCCTACTAGGTGTATTTTCAACTACTAATAAAAAATAAGTTGAAGATAGCGGCCTATCATAATTTAGAAACCCATCTGTTTGGTGCAATGATAATACTCAATGCATTTCATTTTCTTTTTTAGTTATAATTACTAAAACAGTTTATCTGTAAAAAAGTGTAGATTTACCAATATTCTTCAATGGCTTTTTTATATCTGACTTTGAATTTATATTGTCATGAATTCAAAGAAATAACTTCTCTTTTTTTTAAAACGTAATTTTTATGACTAAAATATCAAAACTATGTAGAGTTTATTTTAAAACCATTGTAGATGATATTTCATAGATTACATTAATTTTAATTTTTTTAATGTTATTCCATATAATCAGTATTATATTTTTGTAAGTAAGCATTAAATCACATATGGAAGTTCACTATAAAGTTTTTTAATTTCTTTTTTTCAGCAAGTATTTTCTACACAACTCTATTATTTTATTAATATCAAATAAATAAAAATTTTATTTTTTACTTACGGAATAACTTTTTAAACAAAAATTATCTATACTTTAATAAATATTCAGTAATTGTATACAAATAATTTTGTACATATTAGTCTTCAGAACATCCAACAAATTGTTTATTCTATACAAATCTATTCCAAATGAAATTCATACAAATATAAAGCTCTCAGTAATTTTCCACAAGTAATTAAGTAAATTATATAATGACATATCTGTCTACGATAATTATACAAAACCGTGAAAATTATACCGTAATAAATTATTATTTATTATTTATAATTTAAAATTTAGGTTTCATGTCATGCTTATCGCACTTTCTCATAATCAGAAATCATAAATAAATAATATTAATTTTATAAATACAATTATGAATTTGTTTATTTTATATTTTAAACCTTATTAAATATTTATTTCTTTATATTTAAAAATTTTTTTTTAAACATTTATCAAATTTTCTATTTTAAGTGAAAAAGAGTTGCCATTTGCATAAAGTGGTGAAAATTAATTTTTACATTTTTGGGCTCTTTATATATTCAATTAATATGGATATAATATTAAAGAAATCTGAAAATATGTAAGATACATTTAAAATCTATTGAAGTTTAAAATTTTAAGAATAAAGTTTGAGAGTTCATTAGTTCATTTTGTATTACATTCACGCAGTTTATTTAGTATTGAATTGAAATATTTATATTTACATTCTTATTTTTTCAAATTTAAGTGAAATAATTTTAAAAAATGAATGAAATAATCTTCTGATATTGAAAAATATTTAAGACTTTAAGAAATGAAATAAAATGTACATAATTTTGAATAAAAATCATACTAACCTTACTTAACTGAATATGTTAAATCTATGAATTCAAAATCAATATTTAGTATAAAGTAAAATAACTTTAAAGTACATAAACAAAACGTTTTGCAATTATTTATAAAAAGTAAGTACATAATATACTAAAAAATTTTGCAATATTAATATCATCTACTCTAAGAAATTGTTAATAAATTGTTAATAAATTGCTAATAAATTATTATTGTACTATTACAAAATTGTAATTATTTATATTTATATATTAGAAACTTCTGATAATTGAAAAGTTAGTCATTTAATATAAATTTGTTTGATATAATCTACTATTAGTTAATATTTAATAATAGTATTTAAAAATATAAATTATTTAAGATTTATATACGAAAAAATTATACAATGTGAATTTAATTTACATATCTTTTATTGAAGTGGTCTGTAAAAATCATTTACAATATACCTATGCTTTAGTATATGAAAATATATGAAATTATATAAAACAATTTTTCAAACATAATAAATATTTTGAAACCTTTATAATTTCTTGAAATATTGAATATATTTTAAAAATAAAAAAATACTTCAAATTAAAAACTTAATATAAGAAAATGTTAATTCTTTGTATAATTTTCAGTATGAAATATATAATATTAAATTCTTTTTGTTAATAATATATAATCAATATCTTTTTATTTACTTAAAACTGAAAGTAAAATTTTCAAACTAAAACTTATTTTTTAATTTAATATGCTAACTAATAATATATATTAAGATTAAAATTATTGATAAAACTATTTATAAAATATATATCCCTATTAAAATCATATTCTTATTAAAAGTACTTTTCATATATTGTAAATCATTTCAACATATATTAATAATTGTAAAATTTATTAAAGGTTTATGTTATATAATAACTTTAACATAAATGATAAAACTTCTTATTTTACCTTTAATATTGTTGTTCCTGGAGGAACTTGAATTGCTTTTTCATCAATAAAAAGCTCTATTAAATTTGTTTTAGGTTCTACTCCATGTTGTTTACTACTACTGCTTACATTAATAGATGTTCCATGTCTATAACTAGTTATGGTTTTACCTCTAATCATTAAATATCTAATCATCTTCTGTAAATTAAAAATGTATTATAAAATTTTTTTATTAATATTAACAATTGATGACAATTTTCAATTGTAAATATTTGTCTAAATTATTATTTTTTTAATGTTATTAAATTATATAAGAAAATTAGAAATATAATTAGTTGAATTTATTTCATAAGTTAAAAAAATATATCATACAAATTTTAATTGAATACATAAACAAATGGTAAAATCATTTTATAATAAAATTTTACAATAATTACAATCGTTATATTATATTATTAACATTTTTTTAGTAAAAAAAATTAGAACATTATTACCAACGTTGTATTAATTAGATACTATGTTTAGTCAGGAATCGTAAATCATCCAATTTGTTTTCTATGCAGTAGGAACTTTGTGATGATTGGTTGATATTTATAAATTGGTTGTTAATTTTAAGTTTCATGTAATCTAAAATTGTACATTTACAATAATAATAAATTTTTTTTAATTTATCAATACACAAAAAACAAAACCAACATAATAGAACCTACAAATCTGTTTACAGGATTACAATATCAATAAATGCTAAAATCAAAGTTAATTTTTTCTAAAAATGCTCCTAGAGGGTGCGCGAGTGATGTTTAATTCGCGTAATATTTTTAAAAATTTTATTTACATTGGATCTTTTATTAATAAATTTGTATGATACAATGAATAACATAAATTTAATGTGTGATAGTTAAATTTAACTATGAGAACAAACCCTATAAATATTAAAGAATCGTTTTAATTAATTAGTTTTATGATATTAAAAAATGTCATTAATTTTGTATAATACATTTTAAAAATTTCGAGATTTATTTGCTTTGTACTTATAATTTTGTAATATATACTTTTGTAATATATCTTATTTATATAAATTTGTATAAAAAGTATATCATACAAATAAAGTATTTATATTTTATAAAATTTTTATAAAATACATGTATAAAAATTTTAAAGAAATAGTTTTTCAAATATTACAGTAAATTTTACAAAATTCATTCATGGGCGCGTTCTTGTGCAAATCGCACAAGTTGTTCGACGATTAAACATAGTAGACAGAAATTAAAAACTTTTGTTTTTCTTCGTCAGACAGGAACTATGAAAGTTCCGTCTCTAAAATTTCCTAATATTTATGTAGATAGATTTGTTTCCTTATATGATCTTTATTTTATGATGGACACTTTCGAGTTAATCTTCTAACAAAACTTTATTCCAATGCTTACATGAGTTATCAAGAGTGATTTAGAATTGTGATATTCGAGTTTATTACTAGTCATATATTATACAAGATTATAATTTTTAATTTTATACCCATTTTCATTTTACATTGATGTTTATATTATTGGATATTTTCTTATATTAATAAAACTTATATCCTAATAAAAAGTCATAATTTATTTATTAATAAATACACATTTTATGGAATATTAATAGAAATAAAATGATTATAATTAACTTCAATAGTAAATATACAAAAAATAAAATGGTTACTCTACTTTTCCAACTAAAGTATTATATACAAAATTTGATAACAATGAATATTTGGAATAGTTACTTTAATTGTGCATGAAATTTTAACGTAAAATTAAGTTTATGATACAGCAGAACAAAAATTATTTTGCTATTATTAACGAATTTATTAAAAAAAAATTAAATATGAGTAAGCCGTCGAAGTTCAAAGTTTTAAAATCTTATATTTATTCAGGAAAGAGAAAACTTATTACTACAATGGATTTTAGTGATATTGAAAAATCAAAATTTTTTAAAAATGAAAAAAATTTAAAAAAAAATTCTAACCATCAAACTATTATTAAAACTAAAAAAAAAAATTCAAAATCAATAAACAGCAGTAATTTTGAATGCGATAATACTGTTAATGTAGATAATATACAAATAAATAATATAAAAAGTACATTTTCAAAATGGTCTCCGAGTAATTGGAAAAAACATTTAAATAATATTAAAGAAATGCGTAGAAATTATACTGCTCCTGTTGACAGAATGGGCTGTCAGAAATGTGCAGATGAGTCGGAAAGTGGTCCAGTTTTCCGATTTCAAACATTAATAGCTTTAATGTTGAGCAGTCAAACTAGAGATCAAATTACTCATAACGCAATGCAACGTTTAAAAGAATGTAGATGTACACCAGAATATATTATTTCTATTTCAGATGAAGAACTTGGAAAACTTATATTTCCAGTCAGTTTTTGGAAGGTATTGACTGCATTTTTTTATATTAAAGTCCTTTTCTTATAATTTTTTTAATGTTAATTTTCGTTTAAGTATAACAATTTTATTATTTTTATTACGATATAATTAAATTAACTTAAATAAATTAAGTAATATATATCAATGTTTAATAATAAATATTGAGATTATTAATATTATGATTATTGTGTTAGATTATAAATATTAGATAGACAAATTATGTATTACTTATAGACAACAGATTTGTAGATTTATTCTTAAAGTTTAATTAGATGTATAAAATATTGCAACATTTAAATATATAATTAATGTACAATATAAATTAATGTAAATTTTTAGTTTAAAATTTAAATTGTATAAAAGTATCCAAATTGTTAATATTGTTTTAATTTTAGTGTTATTCCAATTTTTAAAAAATTTTTAATATGTAAGTTTTAAAATAAAATAACTATTAATTAATTAATTAATTATTTAAAATTTAATTTATTTTAAAATAATAAAATTATTTTTATAACATTATAAATTATATATAATGCTAGAATCTGTCAGTTTTGTCTAATAAATTATTTTGTATAGATTAATATCTCCTAGTAATATAAATATTTTTCATTAATATTAGCTAATTAACTTCTACAAAATCAAATAGAAAAACTTATAAATATATAAAGGCAAAGTGAAATTTATTTCAAACAAAAATATAATAATGTAATAATCAGTCATTTGAATATGAAGGAAATTATTTTTTCTTAACATATAAACATTATCCTATAAATAATAATTGTATTTTTTATATCATAAAATGCATGGTCTAAGAGTAGACAATACAATATATTCAGTTCAATAATTTAAAACTACTTTATTTATAAATTTACTGTATACATGTCAATCGTGTATATAATAAATTGACAAATTTGATTTTTTGAGAAAAAAAAATTGTACAAAAAAGTTTGACTTATATCTATGCAAATAGATGTTATATATATATAAATATATATAAAAAACAGAAATCACTACAAGAAAAGAATATGCTTCCATAATATCTTTATATTGTAAACTTTAAATGTGTTGTCATTATTTTGAAATATCAGGTTAGGATTAAAAAAAAAGTTTTTTCAGTATAACGTTGCCTATTAATAAATCAAATATTTGACGCTATAATTAAGATAATCAGAATATTTTAATAAATTTGTTGATTTGTTACCACATGAATTCTAAATTAAAATTATGTGTGGCTTTACATATCTAACAACGTATAATTCATTAATGATATAAAATAATTTAACTTAGCAGGTATTGAATATACTACTTTAAGCATTTTTACAACATGCACTGGCAAAATACTCTGAACAAATTTACATTATATCATAATTTGCAAATTTACTTATAATCTTAATAAAAATAAATTTTTAGAAATCTTAATTAGAAAAAAGGTTATCCTAATTTTAAAATATATTCATTTTAAATAACTATTCTAAGATAATTTTATAAAAAGTTTACTCAAATAGTTACTACTATTTTAATATAAATTTAATCAATTTATTATATATATGTATAAAATATAATTTAATTTATTGCAAAAGATATTTTTGAAGAAATATTAATATTAATGTTTAATATAAATTTTCAGCGTAAAGTGCAATATTTGAAAAAGACATCAAAAATTGTACTTGAAAAGTATAATGGTGACATTCCAACCAATATACACGAGCTTTCAAATTTACCAGGTGTTGGACCAAAAATGGCTCATATATGTATGAATATAGCTTGGAACAAAATATCTGGAATTGGTGTCGATACACATGTACACAGAATTAGTAATCGCTTAAAATGGGTGCCTAAACCAACTAAGAGTCCAGAAGAAACGAGACTTGCCTTAGAATCTTGGCTCCCTAAAGAGCTGTGGAGAGATATTAATTATCTATTTGTTGGCTTTGGCCAAGAAATTTGTCGGTCACAGCAACCAAGATGTTTGCAGTGTTTGAATAAGTCTATCTGTTGTTATAATAATCAATATCAATTTTAAATTTTTTTTTATTTTTAGTAAAGAAGTACTTAATAGAAATTAAAAAGTATTATACAATTTTTTTATATAATATATATTATTTTATTTTTTTATTTTTATTTTTATTTTATCTTTATTTTTATTTTATCAAGTTTTATACATATTTATTTCGTTTTGTTTTATTACGTTATTAATATACTATTACGTGCGGATTAAATAAAGACTGAGCATATTTTAATGAAATAAGATCTTAAAAACAAGATCAGTTGTTTTTATAGTAAGGTAAGGGTTATAGAACATGGTTTAGTTTAATTGTATGTATAAGATCTTAATTTACTTAAATTAAAATTAAACACATAGAAAGTTCAGTTTATATTTTAAATAAATTATCAAATTGCTAGTTGCATAGTAGTGCTTATCTCCATTATAAAACGAGAACGCAGGTTTTATGAAGAATTTAATTACTACCAACTCATTCAGAAAAATAAATTTTAAAAAATTCTAATTCACGCTACATTTTAAATAAGACGAAAGGAATCTCGACTTATGAAGTTTAAAACATTCTTTAAAGTGCATAACAAAATTACGTGTTTCCCACTAAAAATATTAAATATAATTTATAATCATTTGCATTAATTTTTTATCAATAAATTAAATATCGATGAAGAGAGTTGTGTGAACTACTTCAATATAAGTTTATAATTAACTATAATATTTAAGAATTAAGAATAGAAAAGTTAAAGTTATAGACTAGTTCTAAAGTGCAAATTTAAATAAAAATTAAAATAATCATTTCTTTTTAACTGCAAAATTTGTCAATTATATGATTTCTATAATCATAAAATCTATTGCTACTATTAATTTATTAAAATTCAAATAAAAAAATAATTATATAGTATAAAGGAAAAATATATATTTTCTTAACATATTTAATTAATATATAATAATTATAATATATAATAAATAATTAATATATAATTTCTTAACATATAATAATTAATACTATGTAAAATTTTAAATACTAATATCGAGACAATTTATTACTACACTAAAATATATATTGAAAATGTTCATTTTTAAAAAATGATTTATTGAGTTTAACACTAAATAATTATAACGTATTAGAAACTAAAAACTAAATTATGTAGAATATATAACTAGATAATGTAAAGTTATTTAATAGTATTGTTCGGAATTGAATCAGTTTAAGCATAATTTAAAATTGAAGAGTACAAGCTCCCGGACGTTCATGTTTGTAAACACGACTCAGCGAATTCAGGAATTTTCCTACGCCTTATATTCGAATATTCGACAATATTTCTGCATAGCAACGCCGGAGAACCTTCTAAGGCTGTATCCTTCGGCGCTTCTAGAACATTCCAGAGTTTCGTTCTCTGTCATCACGACAAATTTCGGCATAGCAACAGGCATCGGTGCTGCTGCCGGCGTCGCAAGCTGCTACGTGAATATTTAAAAGTAACTCGCCACGCGCCAAGCACTGTTCTGTTAACATCTACTTAGTCGTCACGACGGGCTCACTGTACTCCTCTTTGCACATTCAACCTACAGTTATCACTCACTGTAGCTACACCAAGTACTTTATCATCAATTAACAATCAATCTAATAACAACAGTGACGTTATAATCATAATCCGTTAAGTGTTCTAATCAAAGAACACAAGTGCCAAGCGTAATTTAAGAGAGAAATTAACTAAGGTATAACACCAACATTTATTAACATATCTAAAACAGCGACGACTCTTACGTACAACTAAAGTCCTTTCGTCCACAAATCAGCGACGGCTTTTCGTACGTTAACCAAAGAGATAAAACTGTTTGCAAGGGTTCACGACAGCCACAGATGATAACATTCATTTCGTATTTAACAAGCAAGTATCAGAACACCACTTAAACGTGACACTCCTCAAGGAAGCAGAGATTCACACCAAATGCTGCTGCGAGTACTAATCTCATCAGCACGTAAAATCACTGAAGAAACTTCACTGACTTAATAATACTCATAATCAATATTCACATAATTCTATAGCCATTAATCATAATCATATTATTGTATTTAATAAAGGGAAAAACCAAGATACACAGTGTGTTGAATTGAATAATTGCATCTGCCTCCTCCACTTGCCAGCAAACACCGCCATCTAACATCCACCTGGAGGTTTTAAGTCTGATCTCAGACAAGTATGTTTATATAAACAAATAAAATAAAGAAATTGTTTTATTAAATTTTTATTTTTTTATTATTATTTATATTTACTTAATTATAATAAATATAATTTATATTTTAATAATAAATTATTTAATTTATTATTTATTATAATTTAAATAATATAAAATACATTTAATAGTAAATTTCAATAATAAAAAAAATAAAAATATATTTAATTAAATTTATTTTTATTAAAATATTTTCCCAAGATATTTAAATTTAATAGAAAATAATTAAAGATTTATTCATTTTTGAATATTCACAAATTTGTTTATACGAATAATTATACATGTGCAATTTTGATAATCAGTGTGAATGTATATTTTACTTTGTAATTGTTCTGAAATAAATTCAATATATCTTTGTATAGAATTACAGCTTATACATATAGTTAGTTACTTTGATAATCGATTTTTAGTTTATATCTAAAAATACTTTCCAAGTTTATTTTATAATTTATACACAACTATACTTAAGTTTTATTCTTAGTGTTGGATTATATGAAGTGATGGATATTTTCAAATTGAACTGAATAAATTATAGATTTTAAAAACTCACCATACATTACTCACTTATATATTAAAAACTCACTATGGATAAATATGTATAATAAAATCTATAATTTATTCAGTTCAATTTGAAAATATTCATCACTTCATATAATCCAACACTAAGAATAAAACTTAAATATACTTGTATATTAATTAATGTTTATTTTATAACCGATTTATTGCACGACATTATTAGCTATATATAATGAATGTATTTTTAAATAAATAAATAAAATATAATTAGTTTCATAAAAATTGAAGTTTTAATATAAACATTTCTACCGATAGATTTAATATTTATAGATAGTTACAGCATGTTTTGATAAACATACAATATAAAAATAGTTATTATACAATAGGGATTAAATAAGTAATAATATTGATCAAAGTTAAAATATGTATTTAGTTTTACAATATAGTAAAATATTAATCAAAATCTGATATTAAATGTGAAGTTAAAGTATTCATTGTTCGATTTTCGTTATTTTCATCTTCTAATCCATCAAAAAATGATTGCAGAAATGAATTCAATAAACCCCTATTTGAATTTTGACGTGGTTGAATATTAAAAAATAATTGTCCTATTTTATCAATATATTGTAGAAAAGATGGATCTTTAGTTAAACTTGAAAGATACTGTTCGCATAGAATTGTAAATATAGTAACTTGTCCACTAAAAATGATTGAACTGTTGAAAACGATTGATAACATATCATAAAAAAATTTACAATTAATAATTGAAAAGTACTCACGATTCGATTGTTTTTAATAAAAAAAATGAGAAATTTAATAAAGGAAGAAGAAATGGTGGACCTCCTTTTATTTTAGGGTGTTTGTTAATAAATGATTTAAAAGCTTCATCTGCTGTAGATTTATTTTTTAAACAAAGATACCTAAAACAAATAAATTAAATAATTATTTAATTATCAAGGAATAATTACAAAATAAATAAGAATCCTTTTAATTCTTTCAATGGTAGTACAGAACTAATATTATTTTTTATATAATTTTTGATATTTGATCAATTACATGTAACATTTACAATGGTGAAATATTACAATTATATTCTACCGATAATAAAGCCTCGGCTGGAATAAATATTTTAATAAGAATATAAATACTCTATCTTAGCGTCTATTCGGCAGCAACAAATATAAGCCTGTTGTTTAATTACCTATATATATTCTGCAACAATAATTGCTATATTATTAATAGCAATTTTACTTCTTATTACATATTCTTATATATATAATTTACTTCGTAAAATAAATAGATGGAAAGAATATGAAAGTATAATTAAATTTAAATTTTATCTATTCGCTTTTCTTGACGATTATTCCACTTTTTCAAGTGTAGTCTTGTAAGGTAATCAAATACCATGAAATCAATCAAAAGATAAGTATTGTTATAATATATTACTTCCAATACAAAATCTAATGGTTAAAATAATTTTTAAATAACATTACAAATCAATATATTATACATCTCAGAAACTACAAATTAAAATAAAATAGTAAAAACACTAAAACGTTGAAATAAAGTTTTAATAAAACAAATAATAAAAACTTATATAAGAATATAAAATATATGAAAATAGTTCTCATTATTTTGCATTTAATAAATTAATATATTTTTTTTACTTTTTGTAACTTTTATTTTTATAAATTTTAATTTTTATATCATCTAAAACAATAATCATTATAATACAAACTTTAAAAGAACAATTCAAACATACTTTCCAATTACAGTTTCATTACAAACGTTTTTAATCACTAATATTAATTACTTCATTACTTTTCAAATAATGACATTTCAATTTTTATTTCAAAGTAAACACTTTAAAAATAATTAATATCTATATATATTTCACACTGAAAAAAAATTAATTAATGAATAAAAACTAGTAATCGTTTCTCTCATTGAGTTTAAATTTTAACACATTAGATAATTTTATAATCTGGATGATAATACTTGAACCTTTTCTTTATTGGAAAACAAATAAGTTTATTTCCTTGATGCATATATTAATTAGACAGACAGACAATTAGAATAGTTTCTATTCTAATCTACTTACATACTATAGTCCCACCATTCAACCTTATAATTTCATTTTTACAACATAAATTGAAAATGATTTGAAAAATGGAATTCATAATAAAATTATAATTAGTTAAAATACAAAAATCCTTTCTTTCTCTCTTTTCTCTTTTTCTCTGATTTCTAGTCATATCTTTTAATTTCTGTACCATTATTTGATTTTTTAATTTATATTTTATTTCTTAAATAAAAAAAATTTTTTTTACAATTTTGAATTAATTTGCTTACCAATTATTTTATATTAAAGGTTATACATTTAAATTTGTAGTTATTGTTTTCTAATTATTCATTTTATCTTTTTTTATCCAAAAAAACAGTAACTCGAAGATTGTTAACACTAGAATATACTGTGTTACTCAAAGTAGAATTTTGCATATATTTGTAAGCTGTTTCGCATTTGAATTTGCATTTCTATTTGAAGTTTGCTATTTATAAATATATTACTTTATATTTAACTTCTTAAATAATATTTTATATAATACTGTACTTAATCTGATTTTCATTTATTTAATATATCTTATACAAATAAAACAAAAATTTAAGTATTATATGAAATAAAAATAAAATAAAATAAAAACTACTATTAAATTTCTTAATAAATTTACTCAAAGTTTGTAAAAAAAGATAATTGTTAAGTAAATAAAAGATGGGTTTATTTATTTATATTATATAATGTTCATAAGAATTTTCAAGATATATATAATAAAACGTTCAAATTAAATAAAATTTACTATGAATAGAAAATGTAACAGTATATATAATTATTAAATGTGCATTGGTATTAATTTGAAAGATATAAATTGTATACATTGATATACAAAAATTAAATTCTGTCATTAATAACATAGATAGCATTGATTAACCAAAAGTCCAGATGCAAAATTTTATAAGACTTACAAATTTTCAATTACAGATCATTTGTATAAGTTAGTATAAATTAGTAGACAATTTATCTAAATTAGTTCTAATTTAAATTATTGCATCTGCAACAAATTTTTAAACTTTCTTTTTGTTTTAATATTTTTAAATAATTTGTTCATTTTTAATCATTGATTAATAACTGTGTACATAGATTATATTTAACTAATATTTATTTATCTAGAAAAATGATTATTATTAACGATCTTGTGCAGTTTATGCTTTTGTATTTCAATGCATTATATATATAACATTTCACATAAACAAATTTTTACATTAAAATGTTTCTGTAATTAAATCATTTCTTTAAATACTACTTGGTTACTGCCTTCAATCCATTTTTCAACATAGATAGTATTTTTGAAATATATGCAATATTTATAATTATACTTGTATATAAATATATTTAAAAAGTTAACCAAAATTAGTAGACCAAATAATTTATATATATTTCTCTTACTGAAGAACCGTTTGTGTTATGAAGAGATCCATTTCATTTGAATATCCTTGTTGTTGATGAAGTTCAATTAGCATTAATGCACATCCAGAACCGTCTTTAGTGTATAAAAAATGTTGTCTAGCAGAAGTATAATTTTTTTCTATAAAATACAAAAGAATACATTACTTTTATAATGATTAAAAAATTTACAAAACTATAGATAAGTATTTTTACTTTTTAAAAACAAAAAAAAAAGATCTCTTAAATATGTATAAAAGTCAATATTGAATTAAATATGAAATTTAATTCTTTTTTAGAATGAAGATGTTTGAATTACAGAATGTAAAATATGCAACATATATAAAAATAAAATAAACATGCATTATTTGCATTAATAATTCCTGCAAAAATATTCGAACAAATATAATGAAAAAATCAATTATTAAATATTTTTAATTTTACCTTAATTAGTTATAGAGTAACATAAAAAAAGGTTTGTATCTCGATTTATAGTGTACAACAGAGAAGATTACCGAATTAATTTTGTCTTTTGTTGACTTTTTTATCAATTGCTATGCAAGTAAAGAATAAAGCAGAATACTCATTTATAAACATAGCAATAGTTGTAATAAAATGATATTCTTTTTATAACATATAAAATATGTTATAACACACCTTTCTTAACTTATTAATCATATTTTGAAAGCATCATTCAAAACAGTAGTACAGCAGAATAATATGTACTAGCATAATTAGATCTAATAATAAGATATTGATTAAAATACATTAAATAAAATATCATGTAGTATTGAAATAAAAATAATAAAATAGAAATAAACAATCACATATAATGGAAATTCTTTCACATTGGTAATTACTAACTATTTCATAATGAATACAAAGCTTACGAATAATCCAAAGATGGTACAACATAACTACAATGTTTTGTGAAATTGAATGACAAAATTAATCTTTTGTTTAATAATTTCCTTTATGAATTATTCATTTAATGAATGTATCATAACGTTGAAAAAGATACTTCGTGAAGCATCAGCATGTTAAGTGTAAAATCACTGGTACTAATATAATAAAAAAAACCATAATGAAGCATTACAACATGAACTGACATTGGAAAACAAAAGATAGAAGATTGTACTAAATCATATTAAATCATGTACTAAATCATAAATAATAATACAAGGAAAATGAATTTGTAAAAACGTTTTAAAAAATTCCTAAATACTATTAACTATAATTATAATTTTGATTTCAACAAATCTGCTCTCTACTAGCATAATTTTATAACAAATTTTCATAATAATAAAATAACGCATATACAAAAATTCATTTATCGTCAAATCGAGTCTTTGTATCCATATGAAGTAGTACTTAATTTGCATTTAATAAGATTCTAATTGATTATACATGTGATACAAATTATTATTATATAATTATAAATTAAATATAATAAATAAATATAATATATAAAAACAGAAGAAAAATATAATTTACAGATTTGCTTGTTAGATTGTTGAGACAATTTTTTTTAATTGGATTTTGAATATCATATGTATATATTGTAAATGATCGAATAATAAATACATCAAACTCATTCTAATATGTACTTCATAAAAGTAAAAGTTTTTTCAAATTGAAAGTAATAACACCATAAGTGCAAAAGATTAGTTTGAATAATAATAAATTATATATATATATATACCATATTTATCAGAATTATATAGATATATTTAAAATGATATTAATAAATAAATTATTTATTTTGTGTTCATATTTAATCCAGTTCAATTTGATATTCTTTATTTAAATAAAAACAAAAATATAAAAAAATATATCTAGTTGCTTATATAACATTACTTAAAATAATATCTACAAAAAACTATATTGTTATAGTAACTAAATTGTTGATAGCTCAAAATAGGAAAGTGTGTTATAAATAAATATATATCCAATAAATTGCATTTTTCTTAAAAAATTTAGAAAATGATGTGATAAATCAGTAATTAAATAGTATCGAAAATAGTTTTACAAAATAATTAATGCAATTAAATGTAGACATTATAATAGTAAGTTATCAGTGCAATATTATCCTTTTTTATAGCATTATTATTAAATATTTAATAGTACATATTTTATACCATATGTATTAATAATGTAATTTCATGTGCAATCATAATTAATATAGACTTAATTCCAATTTTGATGTAATTCCATTATATATTAAATGAGTAACTTACCATGCCAATAAACCTGTGCTAATTTTTGATGAAAATTAGGATGTCCAGTTTTAAATATTGAACCAATTGTACTCCATCGTACAGCCTTTTGAACAAATGTTTGTCTTTCTGGAGAAGAAGGAGTCATCAATGAAAATAAATCAACGATTTTTTGGAAATATGTTTGGGATGGTTCAATTTCTGATTTTTTTAATACATCAATCAACAAAATGCCCAAATCAGCTCCACTAGTGTGCTATAATAAATCATGTAAATTATAGTTTATTTAAATATATTTTAGTAATAAATTTTTAAAAATATTTCAAATAAAAAGAACATTTTATTATTTAAAATAAAATATAAGAATAAATTATATGACTGTTATGTTAGGAACATAATCATGTTGCAAATGCTACATAGAAAATATCGATAAAATTCTATTCTATAATATCATCATTTCTATCGAATCAAACCTATCGTAATTGAATAAAATTTATTCAATACTTACTTCAAACTAATGATGTAATTTCGAAAATAAAAATACAAAAATGTATAAAATAAAAATTCATGAACCTGATAATTTTTCAATTTTTATCAAATATTTTCAAAAAGAATAATTAAAAAATTACTTTTAATATTTTTAAACATGAATAGTAGATTATATATTTAAAATTATATATTTTTTTATATATAACTACGATTATTTCCATATATTTTTACATGTGGAAGAAATTCTATTCTATTAATATATTTGAAGGCTCTGTTATAAATTGTAAATTAATAGTTGTGAATAAAATGTTTATATAATCAATCCCTATTAGAAATAGTAGTAACTCTAATTATTTACATTATTGATAAGTAACATAAACATTTTTTTTTATATTGGCGAAACCCATTCATTATAAGATAAAAATTCTAAGAATAACAAAAAAATTAATATTTCTATTTGCAAATTTTTATAATTTTAAATTTTAAAAAGTCAAAAAAAATGTTTTCGGTATATAATTATGATAAAAGTGGAAATTAATCCATTAAAAAAAAATAATATATTTTCAAAAACGTAATTATTTAAATGTCACATAATTTTGGTCAGTATGCCAATACTCAATAATAATTTTGGAAGTTGCTATACTTTTTATAATTATTAATATTAGTATATTAATAATAAATAATAGATCAGTAATTATTAATGAATTTTTTTTTATATTAGTACAAAAAGTTTATTATTTTGTAAAATATTGTCATTATAAAGATGTAAAATTATCTTTGATAGAAACTTATTACCTTATATTTTATAAACTTAATATCATTGAAAATTCAAAATTTTATTGTATTTCTAGTATTGCTTGAAAATAATCATGCAGATAGAATTGTAATAAATATATATAAATTGAAATGAAATTTCTTTTTTGTTAAAGAATAAGATCAAATAGGCTTCTGAAAAATCTTTTTTTTAACAATTCTTAACATAAATATATTTTACTCAATTTAATGATTATACATTAGAATTTAAGATTATGATAATATATGATATACATACTTGTCCACATTGTAGAAGACGAAGAGAACCGCTATATAGTAACTGAATTAATTCCAAATATTTTTTCTGTCCAAGATATCTAAGATAATAAATTGTAAATTTTTACAAATTAACTATTTAAAATCAGTTCATGTACATTTTGCACATTGTATTTGGCCTTAAAAGCATTTATATCAATTTATGTTTAGAAATTTAATCAAGTTGCTTTGTATTATAAAATTAAATTACCATTAATTATCCTTAAGAGATTATGAATAATAGAGAGTTATTGTAAGTATATTAAGTTGAACATATTTAGATAGGATCTAGAAGTAGTTAATTTATGATATACGTTTATTTTTATTTAGTTTTACATAAAAAATAAACAATGAAATTATTTTAAATTTAAATATAAATTTCTTGTTTTGTTATGTTATAAATGAAATAAAAATTCTCAATTTATAAAATAATAATTTCAGATATACAAGAAAATAGTTCTAATAATTTACCAAAATATATTTCACGAACGCATACTTGAATATATACAGTAAACCATAAATTATACCATACCGAAAATATAGAGTTCTGTATATCTGATGAGCTTCATAATAATATCCATTATTTATTGAATTTTCAAGTTTTAATAACACTCTTTTAATTCCATCATAGCTATGCATTTCCATCTTTAGTATTTAGATATATATATATACATATATATATATTTATATTAAGTTACGTATGTATGTATACGCGCATGTAAATATATAAGAAAATTTTTTAAAAAGTTAGTGCTACAATTAATATTTTATTTAAGTTTGCTGTACTAAATGTTCTACATATTATTAATGAATATATTTAATATTTTCATAAACAGACATATTTAATTAAAATACTTTTTTGGAAATAAAATGAAGTTTATTTTTCATATAAATAATTTTAGAAAAATAATAAAGTAAAGAAGGTTTTTTTAGTAATGCAAATTATATAATTTCTTACACAATTCATTCAATCGTATATCATTGGCTTTTATAAACGCGCACAATTTCAAAATAAAAATTCTATACGGTAATCAAATAAGTATATATTACGAATAATTGCAAAAAATTATAAAATATTTTTAAAATTAAATATAATAGCAAACTACTTATTATTTTAAGTTTTAGAGTTAATTTAATATTTTCAAATACATATATTATCGATTTGAATAAATTTTATATTATTACAAGTTCAAGACAAATAAAAAATAATTTTTTCTTAATACATTACCTTTTCAAACACTACATAATTAGTAATAATAATAATTTATACATTTAGGAATACAACTCATTTAATACAGTGTATATCATTTCTTATATTTCAAATATGAAATTGTACGTTTCCTACTAATATGTGAAATTCTAATCTTACTAACTAAATTCACCTCAATATCGCCAACTCTGTATAATAGAAATAATTTAAACATTGTTATTACCATATTAAATTGTTATTTATTTGTTATTTATCATTGTTATTTATTTCATTGTTATTTATATATCATTGTTATTTATTACATTGTAGCAGTATGTAAAAATGCGATATTTTAAAAATAAATTATTATTCATATTGAAATTATTCTATTTAATATTCTAACATAAAAATTAAGAACAAATGTGTATTATTTAATTAAAGTATTTTGATATATACTGTACTATTAATAATATAGCTTTATCTAGATATGCAGATGAATTACGTTATCATTTGCGAATATAGGTTCTATATAAATTATCAATAATATATATAAAACTATATACTCGTTACGGATTGCAGTAGTTTCTAAGCAAAATAAAAAGTGGGAGAGGTATGAGTGCGCGAGCATTTGTTTTGTAAAAAATGACTAACGAACTCAAAGAATGCTTATAACAAAAAAAACTCAAATATACTCTATAATTCCAAAAGTAATAACAAATGAACTCTACAAAGCTATGCCCTGTTTACGTCATGACAAATATCGGCATAGCAACGGCCACCGATGCAATTTCAACGCAGCTTGTTTATACGAGAATATTTAAGGAGCTGCACATGACGGTCTCATCCTCTTACTAGTTCAATCAAGCAATTATCAAGATCAAATTATTGTTCAACAAGTGAACGCCATTTACACAGAGATCGCCTTCAATTCACACAAATCGCTTTCTTACAAGTCAAATACCACTTATATAGAGGTCACATCCAATACACAACGATATATCTCCACACACGTAAGCTACGCTATTACACACGTCCTTACGAACCATCAATATAACTGAGATCGATTCCACACACGTAAGCTACGCAATTACACACGTCCTTACGAACCATCAATATAACTGAGATCGATTCCACACACGTAAGCTACGCAATTACACACGTCCTTACGAACCATCAATATAACTGAGATCGATTCCACACACGTAAGCTACGCAATTACACACGTCCTTACGAACCATCAATATAACTGAGATCGATTCCACACACGTAAGCTACGCAATTACACACGTCCTTACGAACCATCAATATAACTGAGATCGATTCCACACACGTAAGCTACGCAATTACACACGTCCTTACGAACCATCAATATAACTGAGATCGATTCCACACACGTAAGCTACGCTATTACACACGTCCTTACGAACCATCAATATAACTGAGATCGATTCCACACACGTAAGCTACGCAATTACACACGTCCTTACGAACCATCAATATAACTGAGGTCGACTCCACACACGTAAGCTACGCTATTACACACGTCCTTACGAA